TTGTCGAGAAATTGACAAAAAACCGAAAACACTGAAAAAAAAACGAGAAAACCGTCATTTTTCTGTTATGTATAATACGTTAAGTAAGTGATTTTTTTTTTCAATTTCTCCAGCTGCTTTCAATTGTGTGGTCGGTCAAGTAATGTGAATCTATATCACAATGTTCAATACTCCAATTTCTATAGGAGCTACTGTAGATAGGGGACCGGGATAGTAGTCGGACTTTGATGTATTGTTCAACGGTTACAGCTGATAAAGCAGCTATTGCTAAACTATTAGTTAAAGAAGTCAACACATTTAACTCAAAAAAAAATAACACAAAATATCTAGGGAAAATATTGTATTTACAAAATTATGGTTCTCACAATAAAATTAAATAATTTATCTAATCTGCTTCTATTCCGGTGTCCAGGAAGGACTTAAACGATAAAGCGAACTTTGCAGATGCGCACCTTAAAGAGTTTTGCAAATATAGAAGATAACCAGGAATGGTTTCGATTCTCGCAGATCGCCTCTGAGCACTTATTACAGCGGCGGCTGCATCTTCGGGAGTTACAATTTGCATAGTATTCTCAAATCTAACCTTAGGTTTCTTACATAAACCAGTATCGACGATGTATGGACAAAGCACTGTGGTTTTGATGTTGCAGTTCTTATACTCACTCAACTCAACGTACAGAGCTTCCATTAATCCGCATACAGCGAACTTCGAGGAGCAGTAAGGCACCAAGTTCTCAAGACCTACGATACCAGCCACTGATGAGAGAGCAACAATGTGGCCGCGTTTGTTTTTGAGCATTGAAGGTAAAATCGCTTGAATTATCTACGAACAATAACAGAATATGTTAATATACTAAAAATTGTAATAAAAAAATATTGATTACCCAAAGATGAGCGAAAACGTTTATGTTGAATATCCTTTCAATTTCTTCCTTAGTATGATCCAATAGTTTATGGCAAGGCATGATTCCAGCATTGTTAACAATGATAGAAATATCTCCTACTTCCTTTTCGACTTGTTTTACAGTTTCAAAAACATTTTCTCTGCTGGCTACGTCACATCTGCAACCACAAATCTATTGATTTCGATTACTTCACATATTAGTCACTAACGTACATGTAAGAGTAAGCTTTGGAGTATCCTTTTTTCTCGATTTCCTTGATTGTTTGTATATTGTTAGCTTCATTGATATCCCAGGCTACAACAGTCGCACCATGCGAAGCGTATTGCAAAGCAATTTGTTTGCCAATTCCATGACCTGCACCAGTTACCTACAAATGTTATAAATATTAGAAGATATTCCAATTTCCAATTATATGACAAAACTGAATATATCCTTACCAATACAACTTCTCCTTTCACGGAAACTTCAGTTGCCGGCACAAAGATCCTATAGATCGATTCAATGTTGAAATATGCCAATTTCAATAAAAGCAATAAGATTTCCCCGATAATCTGCAAAACAGTCCTTGCTTGCACAAAAGCGCTAATCTCCTGCCTAAAAAAACCACAACCAATTTATATTATATACTTGTGATGACAATAATACACAATTAGCATAAATAAATGTCTATGTAATATTTAATGTAATATTTAAGAAATTATGTGACGATTTCAAAACTTCTATAAATGAAGTTTAAATACAACACAAAAAAAAATATAAAAAAAAACTGAACAGTAAAAATTTGATAAATTAATAAAGATAATGTTCATAAAATTGAAAAAAAAAATAACAATCATATCTCATAATAATGTAATACAATGCTCAGAGAAACATACTAATCCGTTTGAGTAAAGTTCAATCATTATTATATTTTTTTAATTAAATACGATTATTATCACAATAATAGATTTATTATATATTTCTCGCTGTTTGAATTGGAAATAATGAATTTGATGTTAACCAAATAATGGAATTTAAAAGCTACTTCATGATATGTAAAAGTCCTCGTCTGTGTATATTTCGTAGGTAAAATCTATTTTCAATAGTCTATATTTAGTAACTCACTTGTGTACAGCTTTCGTGTGTTTAGCCATTCTGATAAGGTTTGGTAGAGAGCGATCGCGATGCGCAACTGAATGTAGTATATTCTGGTTGTGACCATTAAAACTGGAGCTGAGATACATACAAAGAGCGCGAGGCTTATGGTGGGGATTAAAATGAAAACAAAAACTACCAAAATATTAGATATGAAACTAAGCTGTGAAACTAAACACATTGCTATTTTAAATCAGGTTTCTTGATTACAGCAGTCTCCTCATCATTGTTTCAATGTTGCAAGGAAAGTGTCCTTGAAGCGTTCCGAAGGTAAACAAGTACCAAAGGCTTCCAGCAGGAGAGGTTCCTCCTCCACTGATCCTCTGAAATCGTCAAGAGACACCCTACCATCTCTGTCTCTATCCAGCTTCCTCATCACTATTTCCACAAGATCTTTCACACCTTCGTCGGGGTCTTCGTCCTGTGGATGCTTTACCAAGCAGTTCCTTAAAGAAAAAATGTACAATCCTATAATTTTATTAATTGTCTATTTCAGTTAAACAATGTTTATTTTTTATATTTCTTTAATGATTAGTGTTATGTAATATAATATAATCTTTTATTTGAATATTCATAGAAAGTTCACAAGTTTAATTATAAGATTATATAATTTAACTTTGTATATGTTGTTTTTGTATGTAATAAATTTGACTAGATAATATATCAAAAAGTATAAACATTTTATTTAAATCTGAAGATGTGGGTTGAATGAAATTTTCTTAACGAAGATAAATTGTTTTCAGGACGAAGAAACGAGTTGTGTGATTTAGTTACATGGTCATATACATTTATATTTAATGGGATTTAACTTACTTGAGCAATTGAAACATTTCGTCCTTGCTTATGAAACCATCCGCGTTCAAGTCGTAAATGGCGAAGCAGAAGTCGATCTGTTCGACCTTGCTACCACGTAAATAAATGGAGAGGCCAGAAAACCAGGCGTGAGGTGTCAGTAGACCCAAGTTCTCCTTGTCCCACACACAGAAGATTCGATCCATCAACATGTCTTCACTTACAATACTGAAGGTATTATGCAGCAGCTCGCAGAAGACCGTCCGATTGATACCCTGAAATCTCGATACATTCAATTGAATATTACAAATCATTTCCTGTTATTCTATATTACTTCTTGTATAGATGTAGGTTTCCTAATTACCGATCCAGCATTGGATCTCCTTTTATCATTGTTCGCTCTCGGCTTATCAAGTGATATCAGTTTCTTGTAGATCTTGTACAAGGCCTCGATCTCTGACCTGAATACAAACAGAATCAAATCAACAATTTTCCACAACCTGGTCCAGTTCATTTACCTGCTGAAATGGGTGTCCCGTTTGCAAGATTCCAAAAGCTTACTGGAAATCTTATTCTTATTATCCTTGTCCATCCTTCTTGGTTTCGCGGCTTTGGCGGAGGCAGAAGATTGACTTGCATGCACGCTCTTTGCATTCCTTCCACTCGAAAGGAAAATCGAGATAGTTTTCAAAACTAGGGCTCCGCCGCGCAAACTCAACCCTTGATCCTTGGACATCTAAGACATAAATATCACACGACAACATCCCTACATTCAGAGGAGAGGAAGGAGAGAACCAATGGGCAATAAACAAGTAAAATAGTAAAAAAAAGAAAACATCAAATAAGAGGAAATTTGATGGTTTTATGTTCGGTACACACGTAGGCAGACCTATCGATTTAACATGCCCTAGTATTAATTTCGAAAGCTCGATGTCACTTTTGATTGATATCTAGAAGCAATAACTAAATGACGTTCGCCTCGTCTTTTTTTGCCCCGCTATGGTTTTTATTTTTTCACATGTATTAGGATATTGTTTCGGGGGTGGATTTTGCCTTCAATCTTTGAAGCATGCAAGCTACCACACGCAACGTCTATCACATATACATGAATACTACTATTACTACTTCTTTTTTCTCTGACTATGGTCGTTAATAGTTTCTACTTAGCCAAATTTACCTTGGATGAAGCTACCTCGCAAATCGAGTTCTGTTGGACTACATAAAACCTATCAAGTTGTTTACAGCTGTCGCCTTGGCAATGAAAAACCTCACCAGACTCATCAATTCCAAGTTAATTCCCATACTTTATTCCCACAAAATTTCATTAATATTACTCATTTCTAGTAAAAACTTAAATAATATTAATTAATTATTCAACAAGCACGAAAACAACTATTTTTATTTCTAAAAAAATGTTGGAATTAAAATAACCGGTAAATAAATAAAAATATATATTTTTTCATTACGTGATCAATTAAATGTCTTATCAAATTCAATTCTATATATTAAATTTGATTGCAACTTATTTATTTACGCTTATTAAGCAGATAATTTTTATTGTTTAAAGCTACATGATAAAAATAAATATACTGGGGTCAAAAGATTATTACATTTGACCCCAGTATATTTTTAACATGTAAAAACAGATAACCAAAACATTTGAAAACAGATATTCCAAAATTTGAATTGTAAATGTAGAGAAAACATTTAGATTTCTAAAACTAACTGATATATTTATAATTTAAGTTAATACTTATAATATTTGTCCAATGGATTAAGATTTATATCGTAATTCAATTTAAAAGTTAGTCTATTAATACTTGCTGTCTTATAATTAGGACCCTGAGACGCAGAAGTGAATCAATGTAATATATGGATGATGCACATGCCGTAATCATTGGATATCAAAACATCTTTAATAGACCTTGAACATGAGCTACAAGCATATAGTTATTCGATACATAAAATGTGATTGCAGTTTTTAAGCATTTTACTTTCAATTAATATTCATGATTCAAGTCTCATGTAACTTATTGAACTGTATTATTCCATTTTACAAAGGTAGATGGCAGGGATTAAGGAAAAACGCTCACTGACTATAGTCTTTTCAAAATAAATCGTTCAGGAAGTTGAAGGAAAAGAATAATAATAAAAACATCGAATTAATAAAATCATTTATTCTACAATTCACATAAATCTCTCATGTAGATATAACTTTCTTCAGTATGTGTTATTCTCCGCTCCCATTTCATATTTTGGTTTTCTCGCTTCGTTTTCATTACAAAAATACAGAAAAACAAACTCGATTTGAATAACTTTACTTTAGAGGTAACAGTGAATTATTTGTTCATTTCGCAAAACAAAAGTAAATGTATAGAACGCAAATCAACTTTTGACCCTCCCCCCCACACTGATAAAGTGATTTGCCCTAGAGTCTCACAGCACGACATACAAAAATATAATAGTATAACAGATAAGAAGGCTTTTTCATTTGAAGGACAAACACTCTTGAAGCAATTCATATATATATATATACTTTTTTATATATAATATAATCATTTATCCTGGGCAAATATTGTCTGCTCTACAAACTAAGCTCTATGGATTTATGCTCAATTTTATCTTAAGTATTATTTTTTATTAATTTCTTTTGTCTTAACTATTATAGGATTTTACATAATAGGGGATGTTTTTTTTGTTTGAAAAAATGTCGTTTTGCTTACTTTTACGTTAATTTCAATCGTAACGGGATGTACAAGTCTTAAACGAATATAAGAAGTCGGGTAAAACAATGCGGTCATGATTCTTAATATTATTATTTTTTTATCATTTTGTTTTCTTTTTACTTATAGAACTGGTAAAGATGGTAGACAACACAAATAGCATACAATATCCTTTAACTACTAAAGAGAATAACAAAGAAACAACAATAATATAAATATAAGTGTATATAATCAGGACAACGGCATCTTCTGGATGGACATCCGCGCCCGAACGCAAGGACAACCACAACAGAAACACAGCAGCGTAACTCACGATCATGACTGGTACAAAGGCCAAGGTTGCTTGGCTTTAGAATAGTTCCTTAATATTATGAATTATTAACAATTGCATTCGGCTTTAGAATATATGTTGCTATCTCTCGTATGTGATCACATTGGAAACTGATTACATAGTCAAGTTGGTGTTGAGATTTTGTTTGTTGGGGACCAACAAAAATGGTCCCCAATTTAGAATCAATGAATATTATCACACTACTTTATATATATATAAAATTCATTTATATTAAATACTATTTCTCATAAGACTTAATTAATATAGTGCATCGCCTAATGAATTCTTCATCGTTTATTTACTTATTCCTTTTACTATTCATCGAATTTATCACTTACTCTTCATTATTTTTTTTTTTTGAAAACTTGCGAAATTCTGTAGTGTACAAAATACAGCGAAAAAACAGTAATTTGTGTAAATAATTAAATATTATTCCTTTCAACGTCCGCTCTTATTTTTTTTTAAGTATTTAACTTGGCAGTATTACAGTCATGAAATTTAATTCATTATCTTTCACCTTACTTTCTGCTTAATAAAGACTTACTAATAACTATACTATACTTTAGTTAAGGCTCCTTGGGGGGCTCTCGCATATCAAATAATACAAATAATCCTAACACCTAACGAAACATAAGTTTTGTATTATTATTAATTAATTATTATTTTTATTTTTTTTTTGGAAAATTTTTTGTATCACTTTTTGTTTGTATTTTTTTTTGTAATTGTTTTTAGACTTTTCATATTTTTTTATATAATATATATATATACGTAGTGGTGTATACGTGTTCATAGAATTTAGTTATGCAATGAAATAAAATAGATATTGCTTTGTAGTCGATATGAAAAATCTGCTTTCTATGTACACGTATGAAAATAATTAGTAAACTTCTTTCTTCATATATATATACTAATATTAGACTAACTCTTTATATATGCACAATAAAATCTTTTGCTGAGGAAACTTAATCTCCTTAATCATAATTTTCGTCTTGTTTAAAGAAAATACAAAGCTTACGATTAATGCATGTTGTTGTTTATGTGTTTATATAATAAGGTGATTCATGTGGGGGTGGGTGTTGTTGAAGAGTCGAGGTTAGTGAAAAATGCCGATGACTTTCGCATCGACATCAGTTTTGGGGACGCTGGAATTGTTAGCGGCGATCCAATTGGGGAGGCAGGACCACCTAGAAAAACCCAAAGATCAGAGCTCTGAACTTTTCAGAAAAATTCCTGAGTCCTGGAAAGAAAGAAGACAGTGTGGACAGTCCACGACAAACATACAAACAGGCAAACAACAACAAAGACATTCAATTTATTCTGTACTTATTATTTCTTGCATATTCTTTTCTTATTTTTTTTTTTTTGATAACAACATCGAACATTTAGGGGAGAACATAGATGCTGTAATATTGAAGAAGTGTGTCGTGAAAAGTATTGTATAGCGAGGGAAGGAAGGATGAAGCTTGTGTCCAAATGATAAGTGCTTTACCTGGTAGCTACTCACCTACTCCTACAACAGACATTGTGCCTGTAGGCGGAGTAGGAGATGAAGTCACCGTTGACATCATTCGGCAGTGTTCCTGAACAACGGGGTCTGCAATAGGACCAAAAACAATACTCATTAAACCTCAGTACCAAAGATCGCAACGCTTCTATAACACCAAATAACGAAAAGGAACAGAAATTTAAAAAAAAAAACAAATCATAACAACGAACATAATGAAAAGTATAAAGAAATAATAATGACACCCATTCAAAGACAGATTTTCTTTTACAAATAGTTATTTTTCTTACATAAAATCTGTGTGTGAGAGAGATCAAATACCTTTCCAAAAAATCTGCCTTCGTTACACTCTTTATCCATTCCGCCAACATACAATGATAATGATAACATCTATATGGTTGGTGAAAATGAGTCCAGCGATTTAAATGAGTAATGGGGCTGAGTCATCCTGAAATGGTTAATTCAAAAAAAATGGACATGGGATGATTAAAAATGTTCGTAACAGAAACGACGAAGAAAATCAAAATTAATAGAGAACCACCGCCATCGAACAAGACATTAGAAACAAGTAAGAGTAAAATAATTAAAAAACGTACAATGAAATGTTTTATTTGAAAAAAAAAGAAAGACAAAAAAAGTAATAATAATGAAAATACATTTTTGCAGATAAATTTAAATAATTGTACAAATCAAAATTAAGTTTCAACATTTCCTTTTCGAAAATGAAGACGACAAATAATAATCAATAATTTTTTTTAATCAGAAATTAAATCAATTGGAAAACATTTTTTTTTTGCTTCAAAAATGGAAACAGTACAAAAAGAAAATTAATTAGTTAATTTGTAAAAAAAAAATCAGTATTCCCTCGGACTACTACGTAATATTAATATTACTTTTTGTTTTATCTTTTTTAGTAAAAGGGTTCAAAGATGCAATTCCCTGAACAAAGCTACTTTTGTTTTCACTCACTCTCTCTAAAACATATCTTTCTTCACATCAGCTTATACAGTATATACAAATCAAAGGAATGACGAGTTGATTTTATTTAAACTTATGGATTTTGAAGGGTAGATTGTCGAGCTGCGTACAAATTGAAGCCAAAAAGAAAAAAAACGCATTCTCCAATACGTAATCACTAATCAACGAGCAAAAAGGGGGAAATGTGCTTATAGAAATAATAGAATAAACATAGAGAATAAAAGCACTTCGCCATTCCCCATTGTATGGGATCAATTAGAAATTATTGGCTATGTCGAAAGAAGAAAGAAAATCATAATCCTATAAAAAAATGATATATATATATATATATAATAATAATAATAGTCAAGCGGTTCGTTTGTGAGAAACAAAAACTAACTTTGAGCTATATTTTGCTTCAATAAATAAATAAATAGTTTTCCGATACAAAACACGTTGTATTTTGGTTAGCAATTAATCTGTATTGCTGTACGATTCATTATTACAAGGTAAATTGAAAATCATAATAATAAAACAAACAAACAAAAAAAAATAATAATGTAATAAAAATCGATGTTGAGACATGTACATAGAAAAACAGGATGCCTTTGATCATTAAAATATGTTTATTTCTTACATACAAAATATATCATTAATATGCTCGACGAAAACAAATACTTTTCAATTCACTTCATATATATATTCCAATTAATTTTATACATAATAATTATAGCACACAAGCAAGTTTTCATTGATGTCAAACAGCATATCTAAGGTGGTGTTACAAATTGCGTACAAAACGTTTTTCCATGTACATGACAAAAAAAAATTGATAGAAATAATAATAATAATAATAAGAGAAGAAATTAGGATTATGGTAGCGTAAACAATCAATAATATTTATAAATCCCGGATATGAAAATGTGTCCATTTTCAGAACATAGGTTGGAAAGAGGAGAAAGTGATACTAAGCAGTAGATGTTATATACACAACGAAAACTTGAAAAATAATATAAAAAAAAAAATTAATATACTTTATAACAAAGAATTTAACTGTCCTAGCTGATTTCAAGGGAAAGCGCGGATTGAGACGTGCGTTGCGGCAACTTACAAAAGTAGGAGTGATCCATCGCGTCACGAGCCGTCAAACGCTCCAGATGGTCGTAACGTAGCAGCTTGTCCAAGAAATCGAGCGCCTCTGGGGATACTAAATGTTGGTTTTCGCTATGGACGAAGCGTTCCCATCTTTTGCGGGAATGTCTGCAATCACGAAGAACACGCACAAATATATCAATAGTAATAAGCATATTAAGACTGTAGACGCGTCACTACTCACCTTCCAAGAATATCATTAAATCGTGGATCTAGTTCTATATGGTATTTATCAAGATACTCGAAAAGCTCTTCGGTGCCCAGCACCTTCGCAATGCGAACTAATTGATCGTAATTGTCGTGGCCATGGAAGAACGGCTCCTTCCGGAAGATCATCGACGCCAGCATGCATCCTAATGACCACATGTCTAGCGAATAGTCGTACATTTGATAGTCCACCAACAGTTCAGGACCCTTAAAGTACCTAGAAGCTACGCGAACATTGTACTCTTGCCCGGGATGGTAAAATTCAGCTAACCCCCAATCTATTAAACGTAATTTTCTATTTTCGTGGTCTATCATTACATTATGAGGTTTTACGTCCCTGCGAAGAAAAACGACGCGTTAGTTTATATTACAACTCACTATCAACTACTAGCTCCAAAATCAATACAACTATTAAAGAGATGCCACGCCCTTAACATTCGTAATCAAGAAGTAGCGAAAAGACTTTTTCTAAACCGTATCTCAAACAAATCACAAACCCATCTTTTAAATATGTAATAAATTTAATACTTATTTTCTTTCTACTGACAAATTATTATTTTTTTTAGAATAAATAAATAGAAAAATTGTAATTCCAATAATTTAGATTAAAAAAAACTGTTTTAAAGTTAGAACTACAGAAAATAAAAATTTCTTTTAATTACATACGGCCACTTATTTCCAATGAAAATATTAAGCTGAGTTTTAAGAGCAATTTAAAAAACTATTCAAAAATAATTTCAAATACGTTTGTGATCAACAGACAATAATGATCATCATTGGAGCACAAATAATATGAATCACGTTGTTTGTAATTTGATTCAATCACGTATGCAAGTTTTATAGCATTAAACAATACATATTGTAAAGACTTAAGTCTGTATTGTTTAGGAAAGAATACGTTCAAATGCGTAACGCTTTTTTTATTCATATCTTCGTTATTCACTGCTATTTATTACTAATTGTAAGAAATTACGTGCATTCACAACGAATTTTAAGAAAAATATATCATTTCGAATTTATCATAAACAAAATAATTGTGATATGCAATACAATTAAAATTCTCGTTTTAAAATCCTTTGATAATAAATAGATTAAAAAATTAGTTCCATTTTAAATAATGTGAATTTTTCAGTATTAAATATTAATATAGAAATGTAATTGATGTTAGCAATTTTTGGTATTTAAATATTTTAAATATTTTTTATAAAGTTGCAGAAAATAAATAATGTGATATGTGTATAGATATTATGTAATATTTACCTATGCATAATTCCTTGACTGTGACAATAATCCAAAGCCTTGAGCAATTCGAATAGGTAAAAACGAATGTCAAAATCAGTAAGCGTCTGGTACAATTGTTTGAAGTCTGTATTGTTTACATGTTCAAAGATAAGAGCAGGTGTCCGAGAGACAGGATCTTTGACCACAGCTTGCAAAGTAATTATATTTGTTCCACCACGCAGATTCTCCAAAATTTTAATCTCCCTTTTAATTTTCTTCTTCTTAACAGGCTGCAACAAATGAAATGATTAGTACAAATCAATATATATGCATAGTATGAAAGTTCAAAGGTTACCTTTAATATTTTCACTACGCATTTCTCATTGTTTGTAACATTAATTGCTTCGAAAACCTCACTATATTTTCCACGACCCAACTTTCGCACCAGTTGGTAGTTGTCCTGTTGGCCCCAATCCACTACATAGCTTTCATAGTCCCAGTATTCCCTTGGTTTCAGAGAATTAACGTCAGTATAGACTCGGGCCCTACTTGGTACAGACATTGTGTGTTTGTAGTGCCTGTTAGAGTGTTGAGCGTCTCCTGCTGCAACCGCTCTTTGAAACCAGGTACTAGCAATGTCATAAGACGTTACTGAAATGAAAAAAACAAGAAAAAATGTACTTACATTTCACTGAAACTTTATTTTGGAATTATTAGCATGCAGTGTAGGCATAAGAATTAATTCTGGCTGGCTATAGAGTGTGTAATCAACCGAAGATTAATATTTCTCTTCTCGAGAAAGCATGGTTGCTCAAAAAAAAATTATTTGTTTACTTGATATTTCGAAGTGCATGCATTTACTCTGAAATTGTTCATTAATGAATGGGCTTTTTTGAATCTAAATACCACTACAAGTGCTGTATGTAACTGAGGTCTAGAGTTACCTTGTCGAATGCACAGTTTTGCTAATCTAGAACAATATATTACCATGACTAAAATTCATCATCTTCTAATAAGGATATCCACGTATTATTTAGCAGCCTTGTTTCAATGAGTATTTGCAAGCACACGCCATTTCTCACTCTTTTAGTATTACTGTACTGTATATAAAGCCTACACTGGCTACTTTTTTAATACCTCATACCTATTGCATGCCGAGGGATACGATTTATCAATCAATAAAATCCGCAAATGAAACACATGTGAACGTAAACAGAAACGTAATTTCGTAAGGATTAGGTCGCCAAAAGTTTATGTATTTGATACGAGCCGGCTTCCCAACGAGGAGTTAAATCCAAGATGGAAGTAACATCCCGCCACGGTAGACTGGGTAAGAGGCTAATAAAGAGGCACACGTTTCAGTATAGCATGTACCCCTCTAAATGTACATTGCCAAGAACCAGGGTCGTATTCCGAACCTTCAAAAATTCTCAATCCACATTGCCACACAAAACCTAACTAAATTTCAACGGGTTCTAACTCTCGTACGTTTTCTACACATAATGCATCTTACCCAAAACAACAAGCGACCACTCTCCACTCTTTAATACAACTTTAAAATATAGCCTCAAACTCTTCTAAATACGGGACTACATTTACTATAATTCCATATCCAACCACACTTACACCACGCTACAATACCCAGCCTTTCTTCTAATACTGACGATCGCGTTGTGGTGGCGCTACCATCTAACTAATACCACCTCCAATCCAAATACAAAATTACATTTTTAACTTCTAATCCCACCTATCATCGACCGCGAAACCATCATCCCTCGTACTTTAGTAATCCAAAACATACCACTTTCCAATCAAATATTATATATCATCTATGAAATTATCAAAAACCTAGATCACAGCACAACAATATTACTAGTCATCTCACTTTTGCCAACTCACTAGTCTGAAATCTGAAATCTAATTTACACCAGGAAACGCTTATTATCACCAACTTATATTTCATATACCAATATTAAATCGATTTTCTTTACGTTTTTACTCAATTTTATTAATATTTCTTATTGATTGTAAAATTGACCTTTCATCGTCATTTATAATTATATATTAATACATTTTTCAACTTTATTTGTCTACAGGTCTTTTACACTTTTATTACAATGTAATTATTATCTTTATGTTATCGTATAATTGTTATAATAAAAAACAAAGTTGTAAACTATTTCTTAAAATATTCATATACTAACATATTCAAATATTAAGTTTGTTAAATAATTTAAGTATTTATATGTTCAAATGACTTCTTATAAGTTAGATATTTAATGTTCACTATGGTTATACAAACTGTGACAAAATGTGATAGATAACAGCAGATATAAAATATTTCAATTAAGTAATTCTATAGAGTAATTAATTTAATAATCTTGTAAAGTAAATATATATCAAACTATAAATCAAAACGGTAAAATAAAACTTTACAGTAATAACGATGTTACGAGCTAAGAGTATCCCTTACATAAATGCTTAATAGTCTGTCTATTATTAATTACGTAACACGGATGAGGCACATTATTGTGCGCGCCGTTATTGGCGTATCCGGATGCATATTTGATGCTATCTCTGCTTTAAACTCTGTTCCATATATGAGAAGAGTTCAGCTGTAACTAGGAAATCAATTGTGACACCTGTTGAGCGGGCTTGACCTTATGAACTCTCCAAAATCGATGAGAATTCCTGTCGCGCTTTGCTATAGAAATCGAGAGTAAAATTCCTGTCATCGATTCATCCCATTTTGTACTTTATATTATATGAACTGGCTCTCAATCCCGTTTGGTTATAAATACTGATAAGCTTATTGTTATTATGTAATGACTTAGTGACTTGTGGTAAGGCTGATTTAGGAAAATTACATACAACTAAAAATGTATTTATTCAAAAATATAAACGAAGTCGCTGAGAAATTATGGATCATTAAAGCGATTTAAATAATAACAACAAGTATAAATGAATTAACAATTATTAATTTATTAAATATATTAATTAACAAAAGATGAAGGTGGGGGATAGAAAACGAAATATATATTATATATATATATACGATTACAGATAAGTCGATATTTACAGACTTAAAAATTAAACGAAAAAAAAAAGCTAATAATTATTTTAAACTCTGTTGAGTAAAATTGATTTATCCATCTCTGAACGGTGTTTCAGAAACAAGTGTTGAAACTAAATATAACACACCACTTGCCCGGATATTCGGTGATACAATAGTTTAACTATTTCCACCGGTAATGATCAGCGATGATTGAACGCGACATGATTGAAGGACAGCAGTTTCCAGTTGATCTACTTGGTGACAGTAGACCTCAATTCTGGATCCTAAATCGTACGTGCCAGGACATAAGGCAGCGATTGATAATTGTATGTTCAAAGAGCTAAATGGCTCGATTGTTCTTACAATCGACCCGGTTTTTATCCAGCGAAATTGCGTGGAGGAAAATGGATAATACAAGCCTGGTCTATGAGGCATAGGAGATGAACTGGAATCAAATAATATTAATATGCTATAATTATAATACATCGTCATATAAATTACCTGCTAGTACCTATTGTACAAATTTTCACTACAATCTGGGTTTCAGAAACGCTATGCAAGTGCAAGTTAAGAGGTACAATACATAATTTGCTTTGATCGAAATTGTGGCAGACAACTGGTGGATGAACGATGTTATAAGTGATTTGCTTGTCGTTTAATTTCACCAATTTATCGGTTTCCTCTGTTTGTAAATCAATGGGGATCCTTTCGAATGAATAATTCGGTGCTGGACAATCTTCAACCAGAGTTTCTTCCACAGTGGTAACGTCAACTGGTATATGATTCTGTCCAGAGATCATCCTCTTTTGACCCTCACTGTCCGTAATGATAGCTTGCCAACGCAAAATCAAAGTCCCATCATGCTTTTTATATGAATCCAGCGATTCGATATTATCGAATATGTTGATCCTACTTTGATCATTGCGTTTGGCGAAATCCAAATACGCATACTGCGACTGTTGGTTCATTTGCTTAGTCGAAATAAATGACATTTCTGAATAATTGCTGATTTTGCTGGCTTTCCTATCGATCTTCATGAATATGTTCACCGACTCTTGCGTATCCAACTTAATATTTTTAGGACTGGACACGTCCTTAGATAAAATCCAGTTCTGGCTGAGGAGAGCAACCTTGATCAAAGTAATTTCAGTGACAACAGCGTGATGAATTTTGTTCAAATTTATAGCTTTTATCGTAAGAACTAATTGCTCAATATTTTTGGAATTCCAACTCTGCTTTGCGTTCACCTCCACCCTTATCGACTCCTGTATATGCAAATTCCACATATGCCTGATCAACCTATATCTAGGTATACTACTGCTATTAAAATTTTCATAATAGATCAATAAATCGATTAACGCAGGCCCAATTGTTTCTGGGGCTTTTAACCAAATGAACACATTATAATACTGTCCTGGTTCCAGAACACCGTTGGGCAACGGGAGATGAGACACGTGGTTTTTCCTGGCTTCTCTCTCCCTTGACGCAGTTGTTTCAATACTAGCTGCATCCAGAAATTCGGTACCATTGCTTTGGAATTCACAGCTCGATAGCAGATGCGGCATTGCTGTTGCTAAATATACTTTGTGCAATGGTACACTACCAACGTTTCTAAGCTCAACGGATATCTCTTGTAGTTCGTTCCTCAACAACTCGGAGTTCATCTCCCCAAAACTTATCTGCAGACATGGCGCTGATGGTACAATTTTTAATTCGAAATTAGAATCGCTGCAGTTATTCTTCTGTTTGGGACCTTTGAAGTTGAATATTTGCTTCCCTCGAAGTCCAATTTCATTCTCCGCGTTCGAGCTGATCAAGCTGTAGCATATACCTTTCACAGAAACATTACCAACTGCCATTGGAGTAATAGATAAAATAACTTCTTCCGTGGAGTTAGCCTGTATAACCACGGACTTGACGATTTGAGTTTTCATGATGTGATCCAAATTGTGTCCCATGATTTCGTTAACTGCAAATCGATTATTGTCATCCTTGAACTGCCAAAGGAGGTAGATGTCTTTAAGATTTAGTAATATCTGCAGAGGGTTCTCTAGTTCCACAGCCACCTGGATTGGTTCTCCCATTATCGCTATGGGATTGACGGTATTAATATTATCCATATTAAAAAGAGTGACCAAGGGTTTGAAAATCATCGGGAGAGAACCCTGAGCTTCCTGTACTAGCATCTCTTCTAACTTATTCCACTTTTGCCGTGTCGCCAGGTCTCCTTGATTTTTAAGATTGATGCCAATCGCTGGAACTTTGCCTGGTGTACGCAAAGGCACTCCGGGTCCAACGAGAATCCGAATCGTCTCGTTGCGCACCGTAGGCAATGGAAGAACTTGTGTTAACAGATTATTCTGCTTCTTTAACAATTCCTACAATTGAAAGTTATTAAAAAAAAATATTTCCTAGGTAAATAGTAACTTTAATTACATTGTGAATATTTAAATATTCCTTCAAAAATTTCGCTTGTTGTGCTGACGATTGCTTGCTTTCTCCGGTTAGCAGCTTCGAATAGGATTGAACGGCCTCCTCGTGTTCGTTCAAATTATTTGCAAGACATCCTATCGTATAGTATATATGATCCTGAGCCAAATTCCATCCCTTGTTTTCATATATTTGATATGCTTGTTTGTAACATCTGAGAGAATGCTTTCTTTGAGCGGCCTTTGTAAACCTATGACCGGCTAAAACCATGTGGAATGCATATTTTCTGACCATATTTGGTTTCGTGCAAAGAAGAAAACAGTAGGAAGCCTGTTCCAATAACAAGGCTGACCTTAGATCAGATTCCTCGCTGGTCATGCGAATTAACTGATTCGCAGCTTCGGCGTGCATATTCTGACCTCTTAAGCATTCAGTGCTCAAGAGAGTTGCTCTTGTTGCAAATTGGGCCATTCTAAGAGAAACAAAGAGTAAGCAAAATAGGTGTAATAGATACCGAAAGAACTTACTTGCATGTATTCAGATATGTTATTATACTTTCTTCCATATAATCAAAACTTTTTCGGGACGACTCGTTTCCCATAAACGCTGATAAAGCTGCCATTTCCAATGCACCTGCATAATAGAGCCAAGCCTGATCCGCCATAAAATCTCTTTTGGCTGAATGATATGCTTGAAATGCCATCGAATAATTTCCGAACATGAAGTATAAATCTCCTAGTTTCCTAATATGCAATTCAGGTGCATCTTGAGGATACCTGAAAAGAAAATAAATTTTAATTTTAAAACTATTAAGTTTACTAGAATTTACGTTAAAGTATTTATTGTGGCACTGTTCGATGTTGGCTTATTTGGAGTAAACCATCTTTTGGTGGCGCTGAACAAGGATTTGCTTACACCCTTTTTGTTCGCTATCATATCACTAAGATTCAGAATCTGTTTCTCGATGTAGGGCAAGAGAGCCCTAGTGCAGAAGTCATGAATAAACAATTTAATTTGCTCCACATCTTCAGTAGACAAACAACCGCCATGCAATACAGGTATTTCCGATTTTTTCTCATCTATTTTCATTTGACTTATGCTATCAGCCTGAAAAAGTTTAAAGCTCATAATTAGCAGAATAATGTATACAACCTGAAATCAACTGTAATTACTATTTCCTGTTCCTCAGAACCATCTGGGCTCAAGGGATGATAATTCAATATGTTATTTGCATCCTCAATAACCTCTTGACCCATCTCAAGTGATTGTGTCAAAGCTCTGCTCATATTTGGTGAAGTCTCTGGTGTTATTATCATTGTAGAAGCCGATTGTATATTATGATTTATAAATTGGCACCATGGGTCAGGTAACTGTTCTCCTGTTACATTAGGAGATCTAGAGTTTGTTTTCATTAGAAAGCAATTTCCATTCCCATAGGTCCCCTTCATTGACTCATATATATCATTGATTCTGAAAGAGTAACATTTACACCTTAATAAAATTATCAGATTAAACAACATACCTTATGTGATCTGTGTCAATGGTTTCATGTAAGATAACATAGTATCGAAGTACATTGTTGTTAAACCACTTGGGCAACTTAGCAATAGAAACTGTTTGCATGTGATTCAAAGATTGGCTAAGTTGGTGCAAGGAATCAATGGGATTTGTATCTGAGGAAGCAACAACAAGGACACAGGCAACAAAGTGCTTTGTGAATTCATGATCGGCTGGATATTGGACTTGGAAAAACGTTTCTCTCCAGGTTTCAAACCATGGAGCACTACTTGGTATAGTAAGTTCATGATCTCCAGCATTGTATTGGAAAGGTCTAGGACAGGGAGCTTCACTTACACTAAGGTTTAGAAACTTTCTAGCTATTGCTGGTATTGGAGGTTTTGCATTAATATCCAACATTGACACTTTTAAGTTCCTTAATGAGACTATAGCCCCATTTGGATCCCTGTATCGCACTTCACTATTTAACTTGCAAAAGGGCTGAACCAACTCAATAAAGGACAGATTGTTTTTCCTACATATCTCCTCTGCATTCTGACTACAGAGAACACCAATTTGAGGACTAAATGTATCTTTTATGAATTCCTGAGGGGTGTTTTGGAACTGAGCCATCATAGATTGGTTATGTTGTTTAGTTTTATTCACAGAATCATCAGCACTTGTGTATATATTAACTCCTATTAACTAAAACTGGGAACAAATAACTATGTGAAATGTTCATTATCCTTTAACAACTGCACTATTTAATCAACAGCTGATATACACAAATTTAAGCTGCAGGAATAATCAAAACACTAAATGGATTTAAGTTGACACATATGAGGATTAAGTTAGATTGTTTATAGATCAGATTAATCTTAGATATGTTAAAAGTAAAATACTTATTTAAATATGAATAATACAAGTATTGTAAATTTCAATTTATCATTAATCTGTTTTTTTATCATCTATTCGAATTAGTATACTTATTATGTAACAAATTATAAAAATCCTATTTTTTTAAATAGCTTACATATTACACTTCTATACTTTTTCAATATTATATATATATATAAATGTACATATTACATTTCCACTAGGATAATAGTTTTAATTCAGATTGTAATATTTAGTGGACATCTAGCGGAAATAGAAGAAACTTATGAGCGCAACTATTTAAAAATTTGAATTTTTCTAGTATCAAACATAAAATTTATTGATATTGGTTTATAACATTTCGTAAGTGTAATCTAAGGCTATATATACTCAAAATCCGTATAGAAAAATCAACACTTTCAATTTACGTAGAAATCATACCCGTAGTAGTGAATATTACCAATTACATGATTCATATTTATATCCAATATCAGGAACATGTATTAATTATGTTCATGTTTTAAATTTAATATTTTAAAATGTATACAAATAATATTTTTATTTATTACATTAAATAATAGTTAATGATCTAGACTCTACAATATGTTATCATTGTTGTCCTTAATATACTTGGGTGTATACAAAATTAACATGAATAATATAGATCTTTTTGCGGATTCGTGTTAGGTAATAGTGTAGTTATGTAATAAACAGTATCTTGCATGTCTGGTATTTGTTTCAAACGGAATAAGCAAACATTTGATGTTGTGTGTTTCATAAAAGAACATGGTTTTGGGCGTGGAACGGGAATGGGCGACCGGCATTGTTTACCTTTCGTGGGTTTATTGACAAATTCGAAAAGAAAAAAACGGAGCAGACCATGTAATGGAAAAATTGGGGTAATTGCATATTGCGAGAAAGGAATGAAGGAAAGCAGATGAAACGTTTGGGGCGCTTGCGCCTACGTCGGCGTCGTGCGGTATGTGTTGGCAGGGGCAGGCGTCGGGGCGCCCTACAGCGCCCTAGTAATGACAATGGGTTGCGCTGCGATTGATATGACAAGTGGGTGGTGATGCCCTAGTGCGGAACGAAAATGAGGAGCAGCAGTTCGGAACTGCTCCTGGAAGAACAAGAGGAACTTCGAAAACGTAAGATCCAGGAGTTGGCGACGGCGAAGAAAAATCGCGCCGCCAGCGAGCAGTCATGCCGCGAAAAAGCGCTCTTCTACTCGACCAGCGTGCTGGCTGTGGTCGCGATGTCCGCGGGTTCGTCCCTCCTTTTCCTGGTGCCGCTCTACGTGGACCCTGCCATATCCACGCTGACATCGAACTTCGTGACTGAGCCAGTGACCTGTGTGACCACCAAAAGGGAGGAATTGTCCGGCCTCGCCAACTGCACCTGGAGTTCGTGTCGCGAAGGGTGCACCAGTGATGCATACCATTGCACCCATATCTACGTCAGCTATAACGATTCGAGTGCGAATCCGAACCAAACGGACGATGCTATATTGCTGGTGAATATAAAGGGCTGCGGGTACCCGCCATCAGTACTGTGCGCCAATTTCACCGAAGCATACGGCAACGAAGGTACTGAATTCCCGTGCTACCATTCCCAGGAGAACCGCACCGTCGTGCTGACCCACTACGAGCGCGACGAGCAAGTGGCAATAATCATACATTTCTTCGCGGTACCCTTCATCATCACACTGGCCACCTCCGTGGCCCTCTGCGTTATGCACTGTGATTGCCGCTGCCATCCGACCGGCCGCCACAAAAGATCCAGGAGACCGCGGCTACAAGACCTCAGCGATGGTTCCATCAGCACCGGAGTTGACCTGCACCACACACACAGCCACCATTCTGATCTCATTGCAATTAGGCCAATGTAAAACTACTAATTAATCACTACTAATATCAAAACGAAAACCTATCCTACAACTTCCCAGACTACCTAAGTTAATTCCCCTCTTCTCGTTTCCTTCGCTTCATCCCACATTTCGTATCAAAATTATCACCGATGTATTTTTGTATATGTAAGGCCTATTTACTCAACAAACACAACTAGCATACGTGTTTCCAGTTGAGTAAATTGTGCTCCGAGCCCAGTAAACGCTTAAAACTTAATCCAGAATTATATAATCTGTAAGTACATATATACAAATCAGTTGCGTTCGCTGGGGACTGTTTAGAAACTATGATATATATACATAGATATACACAAACATATATATGTATATATTCATGACCCTCCGATCCTTTAAAGAACCACCACCACCACCCTTCTGATTTTTCTTAGCATTTCCACTTAATTCTTCTTTGCAAGGACAGACATACAAGATAAACCGACATAAGTAGCGTTAGGCAGAAAGCGAAAGTTTATTGCATCTCGTAACACATTTACCGAAGACGTCGAATTACAAAAACAAAATAATTGAGCAGACACAACCAATGATGGAATTGAAATCGTTACTTAAAGAAGCAAAAAGAAAAATAATGATGAACATGGACTTAATTTTTATACAAATATTATCAGGGTATCGTTTTTACACCGAAACGGAGAGATGCAATAAATTCTGGTAAATGTCTTGTAGCATTTACAAACAAAAGTAAAGAAAGAAAAAAACTACAAAATAAAAATTGTAAAGGCTCTTTTATACGTGGTACAGGCATTCAAATTCATTTATTTTTTATTATTGTATACATACACAAGATTTTTGTATCAAGAAAGAAAATCAAGAGTGATGAAAAAAAAAATATATATGTTATGTTTAATAACAAATAATATGTTTCTTATCCTTATTCTTATCCCAATTATGTCAATTTATTTATGTTCGCTTACATCTTTGTTTATGAATATTATTTTCTTTGTATACATTCAAGATTATAATTATGAATAGATTACGTTTAGGATTAATTTAGAACGGTCTGTAGGCGTTCGGATATTTAGCGAGTAACTGTCGCTTGGTATGTTGAACCAAGAAGTCCCAGCCGAGCTTCTCGTATACCTCAATCAAAGCTTCTTCAATTTCCTTTGTGGACTTCTCCTCGTTGATTTTCATCAAATACTTGGCCATTCTTCCATAATTCTTATTAACTCTGGCATGCCAAAGCGCGAAGAACACTACGTTGCCCTGATATGTCTTATCGTTGGGATCGACAATTTGAAGCAAGTTCTTCCATACGGCTTGAATCGGATCCAAATCTCGATCCTTCCCCGCTATAGATAATCGGCACAAAGAAATGCCCTTACGGCATAGGCAGTCAATTAAGACTGTTTTCTGACGTTCCATCAACCTTTAAAGCAACAAAAGAAACATTTAGAATGTAAAGCTTTAAAAGCAAACATTAATTATTACAATTTGATTTGGCCGGCTTCCGGCCTCTGATCGCATTTAATGGAATTGTTGATCAAAATCGAATCCTGATTAATGTTTTCAATGACATTATCGCAAATTTCGATTACTTGTTTAAGCTCATCCAGTTTGTTCTTGTTCAGGACTATTTGTTTTCTGGCATCCATCGCCTCTAACGCCTGCAAGTAAGAAGAATGCGTCGGAATGTAATCAGGAAACTCGCCCAGGATCTCATTGTACAGAGCTTCCAACTTGTTCGGCGCGTCTCCTGCAAGAAATTTCATAAATGTAATGCGCGAAATACTTGCTCGTGGTTTATTGATTAAAGCAGTTTATGATAACCTGGTTTCCGAGATCGCGCACAAGTCTCACTTGAAAGCCTTCATTATTGATCTTCGATAATGATTACCCATGGACACACGACTCAAACACATGCTTAACCGCAGTGCGGATTTTATTGATATATACCCGTACGCCTCAAATAGAATCGGCTATTGGCATTGTGCATTGAGCATAAGCTTCAGTAAATATTCCGCAAAGTATACTCGTTCTTATTAATCGGAAATCCACGAAAATATTATTATTATTTTATACTTATTAATGTTAATTGTAAGGTGAAGAGTAAAAGTGATCGTACCCAATTTCGCAAGCCATGCAACTTTCACATCCCTGAGAGCATCCAAATACTCCTCCCATTTGGTTTTATCTTTGTCGGAGCTCTTGACGCTGCTCTTCTTGTTGTTTTCACCCAAAACGTACTTCATAGTGTACACATCGGTTTTCTTTCCAAGCTCATCTTTGGCGTAGGTCACGGTGCCCGTCAAATAATGAGCCATATTGTTGTTCTTCGAAGTATACCTGAAACGACAGTATTCAGAGTATTGCACAGAAGGTATGATATAGTAACATTATATTACTTATCAGTCGGTAAAGGAGCAATGTACAACGGAATCGGTCCACGATTGGATTGTCCTATAGAAGCCTTTTTACCATTTGTTATAGCCTGACTATATGTTTTATAGACATCCATTGTAATATTGCTAGTCATCTTCTGATTCAATAGCAATGGTGCATCTGTTAAACGCTCTAGATACTCTTTCTTTTCATGACGGACTTGCAATTTAATTACATAATCCCCTTTGTCAAGCTTCACTAAATACTAAAATAAATATAATATAGTTAGATATCAAAGGTAAAGTTGTTACATACTTTCTGGTAATACGCATCGCCGCTTCCCAAATACTGCTTGTTACTATCATATAAAATCCACAATTGTGCTTCAAACTCAGATTCATATAAAACATCACTGAGCATCGGGTAGTTCGGCGACACTTCAGTACCTTTATTCAAATGAAAATTAAAAGTTGAAATAAGTTCGTAGATTTGACGTCCCTTCGGGATAACATCTCTCTCAGTCAATGGTGAAATCTTTGATTCTGTTGGCCTAAAAATAAATAGGTTTACAAATAACTCTTCTTTCAATAGTTCTTCTATTCAATAGTGACCTTAATATTTGCACTGCATTTTTTAGAATAATGCTTGGAACGATTTCCTCGCCCAGGAGACTAGTGACTTCTACGCAATGAATGCCGTCGGATGCAAGCATAGTAATTGTTCTTTGGTTTGGTTGAATGCCATGGAAAGTGATCGAGTAGTTTATGTTCATATTCCCGATGTTGGCCCAATATTTAGCAATAACCACTTCAAGAGTTGCCGAGCTTCGAACTTGGAAACTCAAAACGCTGTCAGAGATTGCTGATACCGGAATATGTTTGTTCATCTCGAGAGTTTTGCAACTCTGCTTTGGCAAGATATGCATGCAATGTATAATGAATTTCCCATGGTCCTCCTGTTCGCACGCACGCAGTTTGATCACAGCCCACGTAGCAAATTCAGGTACAACGATAAAATTACGTTTAATGGTATTCGCCTCAAAATATACATTATTTTCTACGAGTGAATACTGTGGTGCATCTATTTCCTTTGGTACAATAACTGTAACTAATATTTTAAATACGGGTCCCTTCGCAACGCAATTTACATCGTAAGCCTCGATAACTGTTGAACTCAACTGATCTAGACCGGCAGTATCGATTTGTACAGAAAACACTCTCGATAGATTACTTAGATCTAAATGTTTTGGATGCTGCACGTAACTAGCTTTACAGACCAGCGCGAGTTTTAAGTTAAAATTAATCTTCATTTGCGGAGTGACGTCCATTGAATCTAAGAAAAATGGTTCCACGCTCACGGAGATTTCATGTTTCTTCTTTTGATTTTTGTTTCTGATATAAATGCCTTTCGCGTTGTCCGGGCCACAACATATTTGGAATCTCACGTCCCTCTCGAGAGCATCGAAATGGTTTAGCAGCAAATCGAATGACTTCTCTACGTTTAACAAACCGCTACCCTGTGCAAACCTCTCCACTTCGTTCAAGTAAGTCGCGCCGTTCTCCAATGCTCTTTTAATATTGTACGGACTATACTTGAGAAGACGTTGCTTCATACCGGAAATTAATAATGCTACGGCACCCGCAACGTGAGGTGCAGCCATCGATGTTCCGTTCATCAACTGCGAATTTCTTAAAGTACAGTTAGGAACTGATGTTATGGCACCTCCAGGTGCACATACAGTAACCCCCATTCCACCATCAATGGTGGGCCCACGCGAGGACCATGTATATGGCATTCCTGGCATTTTTTTTCTCATAGCATATTCCGCCACCATCATGTCAGGAGACACATAAGCACCAACACCTATGATTGTCTCTTGACTAATATCAGGAGGAGTGCCAATAGTACTCAATGCTGGACCATGGTTACCAGCTGACGCCACCCACGTAATACCGTACTTATTTACAACTTCATTCATCAAGTCGCCAATCCTCCTGCAATGTAATTCCTTTGTAAGAGCGTACATACAAACTACAGAATTTTATTTATTTACCCTGTGTTGGACCAATGTGCGTGTTCACCGTAACTCATGTTAATAACGTCAACGTTACCCAACTCCATAACTTTAATCATTGCTCTAACTAAAGCCGTTCCAGTTTCCATCGAGTTTAATCTGCCATCGCCGATAGTCAGGGATACAATTTGAGCTCCTGGGGCAACTCCATTCTTTTCCGGTTCATTGGGAAAGTATGCTGATGCAATTGAAGCAACGTGGGTTCCATGGCTTGCTACAATACACTGACGTTAATAATGAATGCCATGAATTTACAATATACACCTACAATATAGTCCAACAAGTTCCAATGTATTTCCATAGTCATAAACATTCATGCTGAAGTTTAACTGGTCTTGAGGACTCAATACAGCATAATCATGCGTTATGCTGTATTCACCAATCAAAGGACATTTTTCCAAATCACCCTCTTCTGTCGTATCAACACAAGCCACCCATTTCGCACCATCATAGAACATAATACAGTCATAAAAGATGCCCCAATCATAAAACTTCTTTTCCACTGTAATCAGATGTTCTACTATTGCCTCAAGATTCTCCTTCTCCAGGCGATTTTCTTCAGTTAAAGTTTGTGAATTGTTCATTTTAAGTTCAAATGCAGACAACTTCCTGACTGCTTCTGCATATACCATTTTATAAGGCTCATCCCAATTCTTCTCTTTTAACTCATCCTGAACTCTTTCCCTCAATCTCTCAGGATATAGATCATAAGCATTTTTGATTCCTACTCTGTATGTATTGGAAGGATTTTCCCAGGATTCTGGTATCTAAAGAAAATGTATAATAGTTACAACTTTATTATTACATTCATAGTACCTTCAATTGTCTTCCAGACAGTCCAGTTACATGTCCTTCCTTGGGTACAACAACATGTGTCATTGTAACATCTCCACATCCACTACAATCAAATCTCTCTATAACTTTTATCTTGCCATCTGGTGTTTCCTAAAAATCAATAATATACACTGATTGGTAAATACACGTATTATCAGTAAACATTACTTGGAGGCCTGGTGCACCAGGATCAATACCAGAATCAAAAATGGCAATTGTTGCATCTTTACCATCAAACATCTCATATTTAGATAAAAATGAGATGATACCTGTCTCTTTCTTGGGAAGAAGACCCCATACAGGGAAATACTCAATTTGGTTTTCCATTCTTTCAAAATGCAAGTCACAGTTATTTACAACTCAAAGCAGATGAAAACTATTAATTAACACTTAACTGCTGCAACTGGTAATGAGGATTACGTCAATTGGAATCAATTAGTAAACACACTTTGGAATAGATGGACTATTATAAATGAATAAATAAGGAAGGAAAGAGCTAATATATGCCAATTGGTTCAAGGAGTGAGGAATGGAAAATATTACTGAAAATATCGAATATTCGATTGGTACCATTGGCATGACATGAGTCTATCCTCCACTATCCTCTTTCCTCGTCGCTACTAAGAAAGGCGCACGCATTAAAGCCCAATGCAGCCAACGTTCCATAGAACTTCAAATCTTTACCATCATTCTTCAATATTTCAAACAATCAATACATTTCAAAACTCAATATAATGTATATATTTAGTTTGAAGTTTAATTAAGTGAAAATTCAGGAGAAACATGTTCTGTGTCATTTCTTGAATATGTTCCTTCACTCTTCATTTTGCATATGTTTATTAAAAAAAACAACAAATTACACGATGTAGAGTAGAATTGTTAATTGTTTAACAAGATGCAGTATCAGAAATGTACATAATATCTTAAAAGTGATATTTGTTTGCATTTTAATACTGGCAATCCTGAGTGCGTGTAGTTGGGTTCGAGGAGGTTTGAGGGGTATGGGTGCGTTTCAATACATTCGTATAAGGTCCTTCTCCTTCTCATCACATTGGTGGCCATCATTATGTTGGTATTGCCGAGAGCATTCAAACAATAACAAACATATGAAAACAACTGCAAGATGTCAAAAATGAACTCGACGAGTTTGTATGTAACAACAAATCAAATTATATTGAAAGGCAATCCGGATATACCATCAACATGGCAAGATTTGTACCGGTTGCTACCCTACCTCCGGAACTCGCTATGCTGTGTAGTGTGCTGCAACTTACTAATAAGCCCTCTAACCCCAACAACAGGCAAGTGTCAACACCACCTCTGCAACAAATGCAAAGGTGGTAAAAAGAAAATAAAACCCGCGTGTGTCTGGTGCAAAGAGTGTTTATCTTACACAGAAAACAAGCAGCTCCGTACATTGCTTCAGTGTTACAAAAAGATGTGCATTTTCCTGCTAAACTCAAACATTTACAAGAACTTGATTGAAGCATCCAAAGTGCCTGCAACTGGAGTGGAGAGAGGCGCTGGTAATTTATTGATATTAATTAAAGAGGGTGCTATGTTCCAGGATCATTATGAATGCAATGTTGGACTTAGCAAAGATGTTTACAGCATTTTACCATGTGTTTATACAAACTCGTCAACTCAAACGTTGCAGAATTGTCAGATCATTGAGGGCAAAAAGAACATTATTATTAATCCTAAGAATACCAATGGCACACCAGTTTATTCAGTGATGTATGCAGGCACTGGCAATAAAATTACAATCAAGAGGAAACCAAAAGATCACTTGGAGAAACAGCAAGGCCTCAAAAAGGATAGTAATGAGAAGGCAGTTTTTAAGAAGCCCCCAAGTAAATGTGTTGTGAAACAGAGAAAAGGCTGCAGATGTGGAAATGCAACAGCAACTCCCGGCAAGCTTACTTGCTGTGGCCAAAGGTGTCCATGTTATGTAGACAGTAAAGCCTGTGTTGAATGTAAATGTAGAGGATGTCGGAATCCTCACACACCAGATGGAAACAAAGTATTTAAAATGAAACAGATTCTTTTTTCATTCCATACTAATTGCTTTTTTTTTCTCCCATTTCAGGTGATAAATCTACCGCATGTTATTAACCAGTATAAGGAGCAACAATCCAAACCAATCCAACAACTACAAGCAATAAATAGTAGAGAAATACCTGTACTGCAGCATGTTAAAATAGAACTCGACGCCAATCTGACAATAGAACAATTAAATGAACACCTGAAATTACAAGGTAATCTAGACATATATAAATGTAGACTATTGATATTGACAGTGGCTTTTGTTACATGACAGTGTATGAATCATACTCAAAAATTCCTCAAACACTACCTCACACCTTCCTCATGAATACCAAGCGAGAAGACGAGGACGAAGAAATTACTGTGGATGTCTGACCAAATCCCAGTATCGTAATGGTGTATACAATAATGCCTTACTCCAATGGAAAGCGAGCTGGATGACGATTGTGAGCCTAGCCAAAGAAGTTTCGATTTTTTGAGTAAAATAATGAAAAAAGAGGGTACGACGATGTGCAGTATTATTTGGTACTGTGTTTTTTGTACATTATTTATTAAAGATGGATTGATTAAAAATGTTGCGACGAGTAATCATTTGCATTATGTGGCTCCATCCCATCCTAACATGGCTGTACCTTAACCAACCTTAACTTTTGAAGTTCACGGAGTGGCGGCGCCACCAAATCAACAATTTCACTTTCATTACGCCCATAATACTAGGTATTGATACTTTGCTTTTCTATTTCATTCATTTATGCGCATGACGTAACGTGGTGAGTAGTATTTATTAGACATATTACGCACCTGAAAATTCATCAATTTCATTTATTTTAATTAATTAAGCGGAAAGACTATGCTCGTTTGCCCTTATGCTCTAAGTGAAATTAAATATTGAATAAAATAAGTATATTTTGTACTAGCTAGTTAATACTATATATATATTTTTTAATTTTGTATATTAATATTTGTATGTTTACCAATAATGTAAATATGTGATAATTGTAGCGTTTATTATTTTTTAATAAATAAGTATTTTAACAAATATACTAATTTTCTTCATTTGTGCATTCAATTACATTTTTATCTAATTATTAAAAAAATATATTGCAAATTTTGTTGTTTCAAAATTATATAGAAAAAGGTATTTTTTTTTCTTAATGAATGTTAATATACTGCCACAGTATTGAAAATAACTTAATAATTATATAATGTAGTAAATCCACGTTGCAAAAGTTTCTTGAAAATTTACTTAATAGATATAAGTCCGCGCGTTAGGTCGTTAGGTGGAGAGTGAAAGTTACAATCGACATGCGCAATACCATACATTTTATATTAGTACCATGCATTACGACAGTCTCACTGCTCACTATTTTTAGAGGTCAAAATTCCGTGAACTTTGCAGTTTACCGAGAACACACGTTGTTTGCACAAGTACGGGATTCCTTCAGATCAACTGTGTCACTCATCTCACACCATGCCGCCAGCCGTAGCAGAGCCGAAATTTGCTGAAGAATCTTCTGAGGCCGTTGGAATAAATGCCGTACTTTTAGGTCCTCCTGGATCTGGAAAAGGGACACAGGTTAGATTATTGTTACATAATTTTCGCTGTTGTTATTCAAAGTTTTCATGTTTCTGTAGGCTCCCCTTTTGAAAGAGAAGTACTGCGTTTGCCATTTGTCCACTGGAGACATGCTCAGGGCGGAAATCGCCTCTGGCTCTCTCCTAGGTGCCAAACTGAAGAAGGTCATGGATGAAGGAAAACTTGTCAGTGATGAGCTTGTTGTGAACATGATAGATAACAACTTGGATAAACCAGAATGCAAGAATGGATTTTTGCTTGATGGATTCCCAAGGACTGTGGTCCAAGCGCAGAAGGTACAGTGTTTTAAAAGTAATTAATTACATAATATAAAACAGTCATTTTAGCTGGATGAGTTGTTAGATAAAAGACAAACTACTTTGGATGCTGTCATTGAGTTTGGAATTGAGGACAGTTTGTTGGTACGCAGAATCACTGGCAGGATGATCCATCCATCTAGTGGTAGATCTTACCATGATGAGTTCCATCCTCCCAAGAGAGCAATGATTGATGACATTACTGGTGAACCACTGATTAGGCGTTCTGATGACAACATTGAAGCTCTGAAAAAGCGTTTGCAGGGATATCATAATCAAACTCGCCCCCTCGTTGATTACTACCAGCTGAGGGGAATTCATCACAGGGTTGACGCGTCTCAAGCCGCCACAAACGTCTTCCGTAACATAGACAGCGTTTTCCTTCGTTCCAACATGAAGAGGGCATCAATGTTGTGACCATAAGCACATCAAGATATGCAGAGAAACAATAATATTAATTCGCATTTTTTAATATATCTTTTCCATTCCGGTGTCTGCTAACATATCAAATAACGATAAATCAATGTGAAATTGAAGTTTAGTATAATAAATAATGTAAATATAATACATTCAATTTTCATTTTTGTTTTGTTTTTGTAAATGGAATTGTTGTAATTGGAAAGATAAGATTAAAGTGATTTAAATAATATTTTTTGATATTTATTTTGAAATAAGAATAAAAAAAAGTTAGTAATCTATGTGCTTGTTATGTATGTGGAGTACTTGAGTGCGTGATGAATATTTTCCAGTGTAACGAATTTATCTAAAAACGTTCGGCAGATCGGCGTGTGCATTACTTTTATTTTATAATGAAGTAGTCGTGCTGACTAATACTTGAATTTAGTTGCAGTTATTCTTATGTTTTAGTTCATACAGTTTTGTTTTAGCACAGTGCGTCAGTATTTTTATCGTTTCCCTTTCGAACAGTTATTACGAAAATATCTGAATAACCATGAAACTTTGATAGCGGTAATCGAAGGACATAAACACAAAATTACTATTCGATACAAAAAGGTATGTAAATCATTGTTATTTTAATTATTTGCTACGCAACAATGACCATTTTTCAAAAAAATATTTCTGTTAACAAGAGTTACATATATGGTGCGATGACAAGTCAATTTGGTATAAATAATATCAAATATCCTGAGATTATAGATAAAGGGATTAATAAATAGATAACTATATAGGAAAATTTCATAATTATTTGATTCTTTGCGAAGTTGCGAGTGCGACCTTGGTAATGAAGATGCCTTCACGGTCGCTCGCAGTGGTGATTCATGCGAAGCTCTGTTTATCTTTCAAACATAGGTGTTAAATATAACAAGTAACAGTGGATATAGATTGCATGATAGCATATTCCTAATCTGGCAGTGATGAGTGATAGTAGTCAAAGGATGTAGTAAACATCACAATAGCAGTTTTCAAGGTTCCTGGTGTAAATGTCAACACATCTAGGAATCTGGGTTGTTATAGACATAGAGAAATGAGCGGATAAATGAATAATAACCTGCGGGAATTTCCCTGTATTGGGCGTCAGTTGTGAATATGAAACAAACGAAATCATTTATTTATTCATATTTGAACAGTCAAAATCAATAATAGTTGGGAACAATTACTAGATACATTTTAGGAGCAAAGATGGGAGCACGATGGGACAAGTTTGTGCTCCTAATGTGGAAAAATTGGATTCTGCAGCTGAGACATCCTGTGCAAACCCTCTTTGAGATTCTAGTGCCAGTGTTCTTCTGCTCAGTGCTAGTTTTAGTCCGGAGCCTGGTTGATAGCACCAAAGAGAACCAAATTGTATATAAAGAATACAAACCAGATTATTGGCCGTAAGTTTATTTCAGTTTTCACTAATACATTAATATTATTAATCATCGTGATTAACAGTCTTTCAGATAATTATGATATATTATATTCACCAAACATCACAGTGTATAATGATATCATGGAGCTTGCAAATTTTTCATACAAAAAATCCTTAGTTGGATACCCTGATCGGCAGAGCTTAGATTTGCAACTGAATAATGCTAATAATAAAATTGGCATTGCTTTCCCAGATGTTAAAAGTGTAGATGCAGAATTACCAAAAAAGATTGAATTTACCTTAAGATTCCCAGCAGAGACTAAATCTGTAAATCCCATTGTCATAGAAAATTGGAGGACGAATTTGTTGTTTCCTGTTATTCAGATGGCTGGACCAAGAGATTTAAATTTTCCTCATACTGCTAGACCTGGTAGAATTAATATTTTTAATGAAATTTAATAGCTTAAATGAATACTTTTAGAATATTATTCTGAGGGTTTTTTGGCTATTCAAAATGAAGTAAATCGGGCAATATTGGGATACTTGGGCCAGGATGTGGATAGACAAACTTTATATATGAGCAGATTTCCGTATCCGGAATATTACAGCGATATGTTGCTGTCAGTTCTTCAGAAGATGATTGGATTGATAATTGTGTTGGCGTTTGTTTATACGAGTATAAGTACGATAAAAGTAATAACAGCAGAGAAGGAGAAGCAGTTAAAGGTATAAAGTCGTTCGGATTTATTGTTTTTCTTTGTCCAACTATGCATGTGCATGTTTATCATTTTTTTAGGAATCTATGAAAATTATGGGATTGCCCAATTGGTTGCATTGGACTGCTTGGTTTATGAAATCGCTATCTTTTATGTTAATATCGATAGTTTTGATGGTATTTTTATTGAAAGCGAAATTTTGGTACTCCAACGACGTGGAAGCAGTGTTTCCCAAAAGTGATGTCTTTCTAATGTTCATCTTCCTTTTGCTGTACTGCTGCTCCATCATAACATTATGCTTTTCTATTAGCGTATTTTTCACCAAAGGTTTTTATAACATTTCTCTCTGTTTTCCGTCACTCTTATATTAACACTATGGACTTTAGCAAATATGGCCGCTGGTATTGGTGGAGTCCTGTTTTTCCTTTTCCTAGTGCCTTTTTCACTCTTACAAAACCATTATGAGGATTTATCGCTCTCTGAAAAATTATTGGCATCCTTAATGTCTAATAGCGCAATGGCTTATGGTTTCCAAATAATATGCATGTTTGAAAGTACTGAAGAAGGTATATATAACGTTTGTTGAAATCACATGCCACCTACAGACAAATTGAACGTTTTTAGGTCTCCAATGGAACAATATCTGGAGTTCTGTAACACCTGACGATACCTTGGTAATGGGTCATATCTTCGTGATGCTTATCATCGATTCAATTATTTATTTCCTGATCGCTATATATGTGGAAGCCGTATTCCCCGGAAAGTACGGTGTCCCTAAGAAATGGAACTTCATATTTACTTGTTTAAGTCGCGATACTGCTAAAGTAGAAGTTGAAAATGGCGAAAGTGTTGAACCGAAATCAGACACATATGAACGAGAACCGAACATGAAAGCTGGCATTGAAATAAAACATTTAGGAAAAGTGTATGCCAACAAGAAAGTGGCTGTTAAAGACTTGTCTCTGAATATGTTTGAAGATCAAATAACAGTATTGCTGGGCCACAACGGCGCTGGTAAAACCACGACTATGTCTATGCTCACTGGCATGTTTCCGCCAACATCTGGAACTTCTATTATAAACGGATACGATATCTGCAAGGAAATAAACCATGTTAGATCTAGTCTAGGTTTATGTCCTCAACACAATATCCTGTTTGATGAATTGACGGTAAGTGAACACATCTATTTCTACAGCAAATTGAAGGGCATGGACAAACGGGACGTGCAACGCGAAATCGATCAGTACGTTGCGTTGTTGGAACTGGAAGATAAGGTATTAGTATGAAATTTATTGTACAATAGCATTCTACGTTTGTTTTTTTTTTAATTAACAGAGGAACAAGAAGTCCTGCACATTGTCTGGCGGAATGAAGAGGAAGTTGTCAGTAGCTGTAGCGTTCTGCGGGAATAGCAAGGTAGTTATGTTGGATGAGCCCACAGCTGGTATGGACCCGGCAGCTAGACGAGCTCTTTGGGAATTGGTCGAATCCCAAAAGAAAGGTTTGCCATTTCCCCCGTTTACATCTTTACTATATTAATATATGATTAATATTCGCAAGGACGCACTATCATGTTAACAACGCATTTTATGGATGAAGCCGATTTACTTGGTGACCGAATTGCTATTATGGCCGGAGGACAGCTGCAGTGCTGCGGTTCCAGTTTCTTCTTGAAGAAGAAATATGGTGCTGGATATCATTTAGTCATGGATAAATCACCTAATTGCGATATAAACGATATTACAAACGTTCTTAAAGCTCATATACCAAACATCAAAATAGAGAGCAACGTTGGTTCCGAGCTGACTTTCTTGTTGAACGAAGAGGACTCTTCAGTTTTCAAAGACATGTTGAAGGACATCGAACGAGAATCAGAATCATTGGGAATCAGGAGTTACGGCATTTCACTGACCACCTTGGAAGAAGTCTTTATGAAGCACGTGGGAATAATTGTAGAAATATATTAGCTAATTGATTCTGCTATTTTAGAGTTGGAACGGATTTTGGACATTCAACTCAGAGTTCGGAGACTAGAGTAGAGCAAACTCCTGAAAGCAGGATCGAATTGGACAGGCAAACCTCCGAGATACAGCGTGAGAACAAATTATTTCAGATTTTGATTGAAGATTATTTTACTTTTTTTGTTGTTAGTGGATATTGGAATGCGACCTATATTGATGGGATTTAACTTATACTTGAATCACTTTAAAGCGATGTTTTTAAAGCGTTTCTTGATTACTATGAGGTCCTGGGCCTTCTTTGTAGTTCAAATGTTGATACCGATTTTGCTGCTAACTTTTGCCATATTCTCTGGAAGAAATTCTGGTGTCAAAGATTTACCGGCTATGAAAATTTCATTGGATTCTTACAACAAACCAGTCACTGTGCTTGGTACCACGAATGCTGATAATGAATTGTATAATTACGCAAAGAAATGGTTGAGCGATGAGGGGAAGACTGTATTGGATATAGGAAGTGACAATATGGTTAAAAAAATGTTGGAAATTGTAAGTTTCATTTTTTATAAGCTTCTTAAGCATGTCTAAAGTGTTTCTTTTGCAGACGAAGAAAGATAAAGCAGCTGTTCGCATGCATTATTTACTTGGAGCTGAATTTCGAGATGATTCTTTCTGCGTGTATTTTAATAACGATCCATACCATACACCACCGTTAGCTCTTCAATTTGCGTGGAACATGATCTTGAAACAAAATCACCCCGATTATGAAATTACCGTGACCAATGCTCCGATGCCATTCAAAGTCTCATCACTTGTAAGAATAGCCTCTAGTTTTTGTTTTGTTATATAATCTAATTACTTGTTTTCCAGCTTCAAATACTCCAACAGGGTAACAACATGGGTTTCCAGTTGGCAGTGAATATTGGATTCTGCATGGCTTTCATATCGGCATTCTATATTTTGTTTTATATTCGCGAAAGAATTTGCAAGATAAAACATTTACAGATAGTATCCGGAGTAAACATTCACATTTTCTGGATTGTCTCCTTCCTGTGGGATTGTTTAACTTACATAATAACCGTGATTTGTTTAATTATCACATTATTATGCTTCCAAGAAGACGGATTCAAGAGTTCGGGTGACATCGGCAGGCTAATAATCATTTTAACATATTTCGGATTCGGAATGTTACCGCTGATCTATTTGATGTCTTTTATCTTTAAAATGCCCTCTTCTGGATTCATTAGGGTTATACTGTTCACCATGGTATTAGGGACTTTTGCTTTTATGGTCGTCGAGATTCTATCTGTCGATGCATTCGACCTTACACATATCGCAAATATTTTGGATTGGATATTGCTATTCGTGCCGCACTATTCTTTGTCTACGGGAATCCGAAACGTGAATATTGAATATATGCGTTACACTAACTGCAAGAAAGTGGTTGATGTATGCGTAAAGATGTCTGGGAATATCAACAGTGAAGATATATGCTGGAGATTGGTTTGCATTGCACAAGAAAAGCAATGCTGCAGTAAGTTGAAGCCTGGATAGTCTTGGTAATTATTTTATAATTTATTTTTTAGGAAAAACGGAAAATTATTACCAGTGGGAAAAGCCAGGGATCTTGAGGAATATCATAATATCAATGGGTATTGGTACTTTGATGTTTGTTATTTTGTTCCTAAAAGAGACTAGGGTGTTTACTAGGATAAAGTATGCTTTTATGAAGAAAAATAAGAATGTGGAAACCCCAGAATCAGAGTATGACACTGACGTTTTCGCTGAAAAGACTAAGATTGAGATCATGACAGACGATGAAATGCGAGAGCAATCATTGGTTTTGAGGGATGTAACCAAATATTATAAAGATTTCCTGGCTGTTAATGGTATATGCCTAGGCGTGAATCGTTTTGAATGCTTCGGATTGCTAGGTGTAAATGGAGCTGGAAAAACGAGTACATTCAAAATGATCACCGGTGATACAAGTATATCACACGGTGATGTTTTCGTAAACGGTTTGGACCTGAAGAAGAACATGAAGAAGGTCAACAAAGTTATTGGCTATTGTCCACAGTTTGATGCACTATTTGATGACCTCACCGCCAAAGAGACTATTACCATGTTTTGCCTACTTCGTGGTTTCCCGAGAAAGGACTGTTCCTCCGTTGCTCTAAAGCTGTCGAAGGACTTTGACTTCACCGATCATTTAAATAAGAAAGTAAGAGAACTTAGCGGTGGTAACAAACGGAAACTTAGTACCGCCTTAGCAATCATCGGTGATCCTCCAATTTTATATCTCGACGAACCAACAACAGGTAATATTTAATGCTATTATTATATCATTGTTTCCTGAATCCGGGCCAACAATACGTTCAAATATTTGATACATTTTTACTTTCAGGAATGGATCCTGCTACTAAAAGGTACCTGTGGGACACCTTGTGCAAACTTCGTGATAGTGGAAAATGCCTGATATTGACATCGCACAGTATGGAAGAATGCGAGGCTCTTTGCACACGCCTGGCCATCATGGTTAATGGACAGTTCAAGTGTCTTGGTTCCACTCAGCATTTGAAAAACAAATTTTCTCAGGGCTTTACGTTGATCTTGAAGTTGAGAAAGCCGGGATCCGCGGCCGCTGTTCGATCAACTATAAGTAATACTAATATCGAGGAGTTCATCACCGAAAAATTCCCTGGATCAGTTATACGGGAACATCACCAAGAGCTTATTACTTTCTACATCCCAAGCACTAAGTTGCCCTGGTCGGAGATGTTCGGCATCATGGAAAGTGCCAAAATCGAGCTGAACATTGAAGATTATTCAATAGGCCAAACTAGTCTGGAACAGGTGTTCCTTCAATTTACCAAAATGCAAAATTAACGATACCATTAACTAATCAAACCAAAAGAAAATAGTTAATTAGATAATTTAATAAAGACATATATTCTACAACATTGATTTAATAGTTCTTAAACCTTCTCTTTCAATGATTTTTGGTATAAATTCAACTATAGTTGAAATTGCTACGCGTTTGAAATTCCCGGCTACAAAGTTTAGCACCTTTGCGCAGCTCTTTATCGGCAATACCAGGCGATACTTTGATCATGGCTACCCCAGGCTACCCCCTCTATGATTCTTTATGGAAATTTCCTAATTCCGTAGTAATTGCAGATAAACGAGATTTAACGATAGTGGAGACGTAGGTTGAGCCAGGTTGAGCAATAGATCAATAGGAAAGGGAAAAAAATTGGTGGAAGTTCATGGATGATTGCGAGTTGCGTGCGCGATTTACGTTTGCTTTGCAATATTGAATGAAGGACATCCATAGATACGTCACACTCAGTCACACTCATACTCGTTTTTATCAATTCAACTATGACTATTAACGCGCGCCTGACGTCGATCTAGAGGGAAAAGGAAAGGAAATTAACTGATTAACATGTCTGAGACGACTGAGACATCCTAGACAACCGATCCACATCAGTGTTAGTTAATTCCTAGTTAACAGTTTTAGTAAAAGGAACAATAGTTAAAATAATTAGCAATAATGGAAGGGACGGACTCCTCGTGATTAACGTAAGTACGACTTTGCCAATCTGAAATTCGCATGCCAAAAAAAAAAATTACATAACCTTTTAACGACACTCCTATGCGAATAATACTATTTTGGGAAACACATGGCAAGCTATTATTAAAAAGCAGAAGTGTTGTTCGTCGTGGAAATAAGGCGCATTTGTAGGTGCAGTGTCTATGAATGCATTTGTGTGCATTCAAGGATTCATGATTTTTGTGTATTTCCAGGACTTTAGAAAATGTATGTTTTCCGGAAACACCAGCAATAATACAGAAGCAACAATGAAAAATCACACAACCAAGAACAATTACAATAGCAACCTCAGCCTGTTCAACCACATCAAGTATGAACACTTGCTGGCAGGAATATCTGGTGGTGCAATATCCACCTTAATTTTGCATCCGCTGGATCTAATGAAGATCAGGTTCGCAGGTAGAATTTCAAAACCATTATTTTTATAGCATTTCAAGCTGTGTTTGTTTTCTGTTCCGTTTGTTCTCATTTAGTGAGTGATGGACGATCTGCAGTGCCACAATACAGCAGTCTGACAAGTGCATTTTATACAATAATTAAGCAGGAAGGGGTCAAGGGTCTTTATAGAGGCGTTGCACCGAATGTTTGGGGTTCTGGGAGTGCCTGGGGCTGCTACTTCTTGTTGTAAGTAGTTCTATTTTATGGCAGGATCTTGATACGAGATTGTCTGAAACAGTTGCAAGATGCCTTTGCTTTAAATTCAAAATCAAAGAAAACAGACTAGGCAATAGTGCCTTATTTCCATTTAGTTATAACTCAATAAAGACCTGGATCCAAGCTGGTGACTCAGAGAAACCCCTTGGTGCTACACTACATATGTTAGCTGCTGCAGAGGCTGGCGTACTCACATTACTCATTACAAATCCCATTTGGGTTGTTAAAACCCGTCTCTGTCTACAATATGGCTCTGAAAATAAGGCTGTGAATAGTAATTATTATAAGGGGATGACGGATGCGTTGGTCAAAATATACCGCTCAGAAGGTGTTCGAGGATTATACAGGGTAATTACGAAGCATTTTTTAATAGTCTGAATGGTTTATTTCTAAACTTGTATTTTGTAGGGATTTATACCAGGGATGTTCGGTGTGAGTCACGGAGCGTTACAATTTATGACCTACGAAGAAATGAAAACCTTCTACAACCAATACAGATCTCTTCCATTCGATAGTAAATTGGTATGAAAAGAAAATACATTTGCCATTCTTCAAATTTATCCTATTTATAAATTTTAGACTACAACCGAATATTTATGTTTCGCCGCAATTTCCAAGTTGCTGGCAGCTGCCGCAACATATCCATACCAAGTGATAAGGGCTAGGTTGCAGGATCAACACAATAGCTACAAAGGCACTTGGGATTGTATAGTCAAGACGTTTAAGTTCGAAGGGATGAGAGGTTTCTACAAGGGATGCGCACCTTATTTATTACATGTTACACCCAATATCTGTCTAGTCATGCTAATTTATGAAAAATTCACTAACAAGTAAAGATCCACTAGATGAGGATAACGTTTAAATAAATAGTATTAAAGCAAACAAACAAAAAATAAATAATATATATATATAATAAGTGTTGTAGTAGAAAGCAAAAAGTACTTATATTCGCAGCAACACTATTACATTTTTTTACTGAACTTAGTTTATAAATTCGAAGCAATTAAAAGCAACATTGGCGTTAACACTTGTAGGATCCTCTTAAATCACGAAATGTATTTTATTTTTGAAATTTGATGTGGACATGTTTGGAAACGCAATAAATAAATGGATCAATAATTAGTATAATGACTCTTTACTCCTTCATTCATCACGAATGTAAAATCCAAAGGTGTTCTTTTATTTTATAATAAGAGTGCAAATTTTATTCGTATTCAAAATAATCGGAGAGACAAAAATATTTATATTAAGGAACAAATGGTACAAAGATTTCAATTGGTGCACACATAACGAGTATTGTGAAAACCACCTTACTGAAAGTAATATAGAGAGGGTATTATATTACAGGAAACGTTTATTTCTATATAGGACGTATATATTGTACGTTTCTCTTTCAACTATATTTTTCAACAAATTCTTTAAAAATTATATAATATAGGAAAAAAAAAATAATAATATTCAACGTAATTCTAAACAATTTGGCACCTCGGGTCATGAACTCTGCACTGTATCCGTGCGAGCACCTAAACTCTTTACAAAGAATGTAAAAGTACAACAAAACAAATAATCTCTTTCAATGGTATTTTAAAAAGCGTATTTCCCCATCACGGATCAGAATAGAGGTCCAAGTGTACTAAGGTAAATAATATTCGATAGAAGAAAATAATAATCATAATAAAATAAAGAAAACAAACAAAGAAACTCCCTTATTTCTTTACCTCCATAACCATATGTCTTTGTTGCAATATGCATACTAGAATAATTCATACTAAATAAGCTTTTACCTTCGAAAAAAGAAAAATATGTTTTTTTTTGATTAAGTATTGGATCTGAAACGAGTATAAATTAATAATACTAAGATTATTCGAGAAAGTAACGTTCGACATAAAAACTAAGAAAACGAAGTAGTGCCCGTGTACGTGTATCAAAGTGATGATGTAAGTTATCTTTTGTGCTATTAGGTAAATAGTTAAGGTAAGGCTGCATTTTGGTAGACAATATACATGTATGTATGTATATAAGTAAATTCAGGGTCTTGTGCAGATCATGTAGTACAAAAAGATCGTCTGCAGGACGAAGAGTACGCAGAGTACTGTTAGTTGCTCCCGTCCGAATTGAAGATTGGGCTTCTGCTTAGCATGCGTTAGGATAATCTGCTGTAACTCCCCAGACACCTGCTCGATTTTCTCGCTTTGTTCGCTCACACTTTTCTCGACGTTCTCAATTGCTTGTATGAACCTGCAAGTTTGTCAATGAATGATGGTCAAAGAACATCTTACAAATCTTACTTGATGTTATTACACGTAGGTTTACGGCCAGATTGCGTGGAGTCCGAATGATACTCCTCCGATTCGCTAGCAGTATCATCGTTGGCGTCAATGTCAGAGGATATCTGTTTCGCTGCGATCTTCCTCTTCGCGCCTTTTAACGAGCGGCTCTCGCTCTGTAATTCCAAGAAAATAAATAAATAGAACAGATTTGCAGTCGCTGGTTATGCCCAAACACAATACCGTTGCGTGTTCAACACTAACAATGCTAGATGACCGGATCATTGGAGTGGCGTGCTTCGTACGCGTACTGATAACGTAGTTGTGCTCGTATTGATACAGATCATTCCTCGGATCCCAAGGACGCAAATCGGAGAACTTGTAGACCCATTGCCCGGACTTCAAATCTTGCTGGAAATGCGTAGGCATCCAATCCTCGCATTTAGCCTTGCGTTCTTTGCACAGAGCTAACAACATCCGATTATTCATAGCCCCCACCTAGGTGAGATTAAGACAAACCTCTTTGGACTTCTTCCAGCGAAGTCTTTTCTTCTGTAGCTGCGTTCATATCATCCCTCAGTATAGCTGCAGAGACATGCTGCCACAACCGTTCGGACTCGTTTTCTTCCTGCTGATCCAAAGGCACAGTATATCGTTTCAAACGGCTCTTCCTTACCGTGCTCCCTGAGGCATTCCAGAATATCTTCTGCTCCTAAATCAATAATACCAGTAGGTTTTCATTGCTATAACAATATTTGATTCATACCCCAGTTCGCCTATCTTTTATAGTTATAACACCATCCCAGTAACCTTCAATAGTGGCAAGAGTTTCCTTCCCCAATTTTAAACGTCCCGTAATGCAGTTTGTTTGCTCGACCCCGCCGAGGAAAGGCTAATCAGGAAATCACTTATTCAGTGAACATCGATTTTGACAATGAATTATTTAATACTTACTTTCAACTTAAATTCTATTTCAGTATAGTAGCCTGTTTTCTCGCACTCGATAGTTACTTTACCACCCAATTCCATGCTCAGTGTGCCCATCAGGATACCTTTGCAATGTGCATATGGTACAGTCAGAGTGTAATTCTCTCCTCGAGGCATCAATGTTAAAATTGCAATTCCGTCCAGAATCGCTGATGTAGAGTTTCCGTAAAATTTGGATTTGGCGAGTATAGACGCAGTTATGGAAAATCCCTCCTGTCTATTGCTAACATAAAATGCAGATACCTACAATAATGGGATTAATAGATGAAGATAATGTTGATACTGAAGATCTAACAGGTGGATGATGTGAGACTTGTTCGGCAATATAGTAAGTCTTTGAGCCATTTGGGTGTAGCCAATAACAGCGAAAAGCTTCACCTAGAATCGGGTTGTAAGGTTTCTTCAGACCTTTGGGCTTCTTGTATAACCCGGACAGGTACCATTTCACAACGCTTTTCATCCTGGTAAAAGCATCGTCCTCTAAAACAACTCTGCAAAGTGAATGATTGAAATAGGGATCATGTAAAAGCGGGATCAGTTTACGATGATAGGATGTCCACGTGATAGTAAGAATCAGCAAGTTTATCCAAAAAAGACCTGGGCTCTAATATGAAGGTAGGTAAAACCACTTTGCTTAAGTCCATTCCTGGCCTAACTTGTTTCACTAAATACCATATCAGTGATTTATGTTCATCGGCAAGTTCTTCAACCTGAGCGCCAGCCTGAAACGTTTCATTGATTAATTTTTGCGTAGTCCTTGGGGGGATTACTCACATCACCAAATTCCTCCTCGTTATTCGGTGTGTAAGGAGTCTCTTCGGGTTCCTCATCAACATCTTCATCTTTGACCGATATGTCTGAATCAGAGTCTGTAATTTCACCGTCACCAGTACTTAATTGAGCTCCATTATCTAACTGACTAATATCATCTAAATCTATAAAATCAATAATATGTGAATTAGGCTAAACTAATGCTATTTAGAGGAGTGGACAAACCGTGATCAAAATGTTTTTCATAATCTGCTTCAGACCATTGCGTTTCGTGATTTGTACTTCCACTGTGCGACTTATTGCTAACAGATCTAACTAAAGCCGAATCATTCCTAATAGAGATTTCTAAGGCATCTAACCAGCACATTCCAGATTCCTGCGAAGATGCACGGAATATCGTATGAGAATTTGGAAGTGGTTGTATCACAGCGCCTAAAAAATGAATCCTTTTAATAATGGGTGAACATATTTCCAAGTGAGTATGGATTACCTATGGATTCATTCTCAGGGCCTCTGGGCGCCCAGATTGACAGATCTAAGGGATTATAGAGTTTGAAACAAAAGCCATCTTTTTTACTAGGCCTTTCTATGACTTTGCAAGAATTGAGTAGTATTGTGCCAACCCAGTGATTGCTCTATGAAATAACAATTTAAAATGTTATCAAGTTAATTTAGTACAATTACAAGAGATAAAATATATTACTTTGCACTTTGCGCTTTTGTAAAGTAATAACATGCCTGGCTTTAGGACACACCACAGTTTTGTCCATGATTTCAGGGTGCCCCTAACTTTCAGCCAGTCAGCCAGGACAACTACAGAGGGATCTTTCAAGGAGTTCAGCAATTCATTTGTGACCCTCTTCTTTTCCTTTCGATAGTTCTTCCTTTGAGCTTTGTAGGATTCCTTGCGTGTCAGCTTTGATTGGGGTTCAGCCAACTAAAAGACAGCTATTGAGGGGACTGCTTGGACATGGGAAGCTGCTTACCTTATCCAAATAGTCAGGAAGCTTATCAGTGCATGAGGGTCCTATAAGAAATTGCGATGAGGTTACAAGCAGTGAGAGAATTGTTATTGGGGTGTTCAAACCTGGAGAGGATGGACCAGGACTATTGCTTAGCGAATCATTTGAAGGCAGCTTGGATAACACATTGAATAGGCCCTTGGCCTTTTTCTCTTCAGAGCTCTTGATGTGGATAGCCCCATCGGACATTGTGAATGCAGCCTGGGGTGAGGACATTTTCTCCATTTCTCTCACTTTTCTAATAAATCACCACCAAACTAGATCAGATCTGTGCGACTCTTCCTTCGAGGATCGTCGTAGTTTGCGACGTTACATCTTACAATACGCGAATGTACCAGCCATATGGAGCGACCGGTCACCAGATCGCAGAAACATTTGCTAATTGAACTGTACTAAATGAAGATGAATAGATATACGTTTGACGCAGAGCTCAATATACGTTTTCAGACCGGTTTTTATAAATTCGTCAGTGGACACGACAAACTATTCTTAATCATGTCAGCAAAATATGTCAGTCTTTGTACATATCACAATCTTGCTGAATGGGTACCTGATAGCCGGACAATTCACGGTGCGAAAACAACGATGTCCGAAGATTCAACTGAAGTCAAAGCAAAAAAAAACAACAAGTTTTGTATCTGTAACACCACGAATTACGTATATAGATTTTCTGCATCGATTATGTAACGCATGCGCCTACGAATTGTTTATAATTATAAACGTAAACATTGCAGACGCGAATTGTCGCGCGGCTTACGTAAGCCAGCTCATTACCAACTCCTGCCACTGACACGACACCACAAAGTGACATCAATTGCTACAAGCGGGGACACGCAAGAAACGTCAACTGTCACAAGTATCATCGCCACCAAATATCACAAGAGAACGCAATAAACAAATAAACAAAGCTAGGCAACCAAACGTACACCGGTGTAAAACCTATATCACAAAATTGAAAACACTTATATCATATATATTTAAACTAAATCTAGAATTTAAACTTAAATATCATATTAGATCATAAAAATCATAGTATATATTATAAACTCTATATAATAATGAGTTTACATATGACCTATTGTCGGGATTTCTATACAGTCGGCATTTCAAACGTCGGGATTTCGAATGTCGTGAATTTGATTGGCGGTATTTCTGTCCTATTTCGGAATTTTTTACTTTATTAACTAAAGATTTAAATTGAAATAACCGATATTGCTTTTAGATGACTTTATTTATTCATTAAACGATCAATCAGCTCCACGATTGATCGTTTAATGAATAAATAAGATGCGCTTTAAAAGAATCCACCACCTGGCAGACTTGATAATATTTCAAATTACTTAATAATTCATATATTCTCACTACGTTAAACAAGAAACATTTGAATTTACTAATTTTAACTTAAATACAAATTCTAATTAGTTATAATAAAACAAATTTAATTCATCATTAAAATTCATTTTGAATCAATTTTTTGTTTCTTATTATCATCTAAATTATATTATTTCCTGCCGTTATTTATCTATCAAAACATACATTAATGATATAAACATTATTATATAATTAATACAAGGGTTTTGTAATGTCTTTAAAACAAACTCTTATAAAAAACATTTGTTTTTTTGTTAATCCATAAAGAACAACTGTTTCGTGCAGGTCATGGAATGAATTAAGATACGAATCTGAGGTCAAAATGAATTGCTTATTTTAGGATTCCAAAATGTTTTTCGTAAACACAAACGAACGCTTTAAATGAACTTTTTGATTTTTCTTTTTCAATTACGACTTTTGATTTATACATATTTCTTTAGTATATGAAGATCAGAAATTTATATTTTAAAGTGTATACAAATGATAAAAATCTGCATTCTTTGTGTATTGCTCAAATAACTGTGTTAATTAAGTATAAGAAATAATTGTTATTTTCTAAGCCATTTTTAATTAAAAATTTTAGATTTAAATATAGAACATATATTTTTATTGAAAATAATGATTATATTTAATGCAGGATTATTTAATATTTCTTTCCATCCGTGGTAATTACACATGAAATACTTATCAAACCGGATGTACCGTTGTAGTATTGTGTTCAATTATCTTGACTCGTCGGTGTTAGTTCGTATATTCAGAGAACCACGACGAAGTTCGCCGTCGTCGACGTACACCGAAACCTGTGTGTTATAAAATTCGTGCATTTTTTGTTTTACCTCCAACCACATTCGACGAACTTGCTGGATTCCTGTACCAAAAATGAATACAAGTAAGTCTTGATCAAATCATTACAACACTCGATGAACTTCTTATGCCAACTCAACCACTTATCGGTAACCAACTGGCGTTATCTCGGCAGCCGCGCTCTGTTATCATTATCACCAGCCACTGGCACAGAAGCCAAGCTACTGCAATTGCATTGTTTCGACACATCGTACGATTCTATGATCGATGTTTTTCCAGCTCGACATTGAAAGTGCCATTTCAAGGTTATTATAGAATCAATGATCCTGCGCTCTCTTTTCGCAGTGTAAATATAATCCCAACGATTTGCTCTTCTCTATGAATAAAGTCTAATAACAGGTGTAATAGCCTACACTCTCCAATCACCCGCAACCCTGGACTCTAAAAACCTCGCCAATGAATCATGGTCCAGTTTCTTTGTAGCTGTAATCAAGAGACAATATATCAATTAATCGAATGTAGTTCAACTATAGCTCTTGGTGATGTGGGCCAAGGTAAATGATCTGCTATTAACATAATTCAGAGACCCCACTCGCTCGACGCAACGAAATGCGATCATTTAAATGAAATCATTTGAAGGCAAACCGAGTGAATAGCTTTTTAAATTATTTGGACCAATAGGAGAGTGCGTAACTTCCGATTGGTCCACAGTCGACGAATCGGAATGAATGTTTCTAAGTCGATCTGAAATTTTGAAATCAAAGAAGTTCTAGCGAACTTTCCAATCACGACCGAGCCCTGCCACCAGAAAAATGGACAGTTCACCTTGAAAGTTCGTTATTGACTCGCATGAAAGTCATTCTATCTAATCTTTCATGCAATTTTCATACGAATCCATGGGCAGTGAGCGTCCACTGTTCGAATGAACAACTTCTCGAGGTGCAAGTCGAGATCAATACTTGGAAATGGCTAGCAGACGCGTATTTGACGGTAACGGCTTTCGGAAGCGGCGCATTTTTGCAGCGGTATAACTCTATTTTTGACTATCGTCTTCTATTTTTGTTTTAGACAAAAGCAAGGAAGAATGCTTGAGTTTGTACAGGAAGTCGTTGGAGTCGAAAGACATGGACCACGACGGTACACACTTCGATGGAGAACATCCCCATGTATTCGTCATCTTCGGAGCTTCTGTAAGTTGTTTTTCGGCCTCCAATTCACATTTTTATCGCGTACAATATTTACTTTATAAATATATACATAGTGATAACACTTTATTCGTTGCGGTTGGATTCATTCATTCATCCATCACGCGAATTGGGTCAATAAACTCAATATTTTTTTTTAGGGTGACCTTGCAAGGAAGAAGATTTACCCAACGTTGTGGTGGTTGTTCAGGGATAATTTGCTGCCCACGAATACCATATTCATAGGCTATGCGAGGTCCAGCACAACTGTGCTCGATATCAAGAGCAAATGCGAGCAGTATATGAAGGTGAAACCCAGCGAAATTGAAAAGTTCCAGCAGTTCTGGAAGATAAATTTCTATGTAGCCGGCTCCTATGACAGGGATTCGGATTTTGAAAGACTCGACAGGGAGATTCGCGTGCACGAAACTGGACCGAACGCTAATAGGGTGTTCTATTTAGCCTTACCACCGTCTGTATTCGAAACAGTAACTGTTCACATCCGAGGAAAATGCATGGCTTCTAAGTAATAGTTAACTATTTTATTAAAAACCCGACTAACCAGTCATGATTTCAAGGGGATGGACGAGGGTCATTATAGAGAAGCCTTTCGGCCGCGATTCCGTGACCTCCGAGAAGCTATCCAACCATCTCTCGACTTTATTTACGGAACAACAGATTTACAGAATCGACCATTATTTAGGCAAAGAAATGGTGCAAAATCTGATGACTCTACGGTAATTACGATAAGCATATTAAATGATTAAATTTAAATCTTTCATTGGGTTTGTAGATTTGGAAACAGGATATTTTTCCCAATCTGGAACCGGGATAATATTGCATCCATACAGATTTCCTTCAAAGAACCTTTCGGTACGCAGGGTCGGGGTGGATATTTCGACGAGTTCGGTATTATCAGAGACATCATGCAAAACCACCTGTTGCAAATCCTAACGTTGGTGGCAATGGAGAGACCGGTTAATTGCCATCCAGATTCAATTAGGAATGAGAAAGTTCGTGTTTTAAGGTGCATTGAACCATTGCACACAAAAGACGTGGTTTTAGGACAGTACGTTGGAAACCCAAATGGATCAGGACAGGAGACGTTGGGATATTTGGATGATTCAACTGTGCCGGGTGGATCCGTGACACCTACCTATGCATTGGGAGTATTGAAGATTAATAATGAAAGATGGGACGGCGTACCATTCATATTAAAGTGCGGTAAAGCTTTGAACGAGCGCAAAGCTGAAGTTCGTATTCAATTCAAGGAAGTTCCTGGTGATATTTTCGATGGTAAAGCCAAGCGCAACGAACTGGTCATTAGGGTACAACCTGGTGAAGCTTTATACGTTAAGTTGATGGTGAAAACTCCTGGTAGTCCATTTGATATGGAGGAAACAGAATTGGATCTAACGTATGGTAGCAGATATTCCGTAAGATTATTGTCTCTAATTAGTTACATCGTATTAAACACAGAGCTTACAGAACGTGAAATTACCCGACGCCTATGAAAGATTAATCCTCGACGTTTTCTGCGGGTCCCAAATGCACTTCGTTAGATCGGACGAGCTCAGCGAAGCCTGGAGAATATTCACACCTCTGTTGCACAATATTGAAAACAACAAGGTTCAACCAATTCCTTATACGTAAGTCAATTTTAATATCATGGTAATAGGATATTTGAACTACTATTAAAACCAATGAATTATGTTTAAGGTATGGAAGCCGCGGTCCAAAGGAAGCCGATGAACTATTGTCCAGTAATAACTTCACTTATTCTGGTTCCTATAAGTGGAAACCAACTTAAAAATATATATTCCTACCGTCCTACAGTTAGTTACAACTGTTTTTTTTTTGTAAATAACTTTAATTGATAATATTTATTGAGGTGTTAGGTGAATGGGTAAAAAAATTGCGGTAGTTGATTGTGTTTGTAGTTGATACTATTTATTTATTTACACGATTTCATTGCTTTATTTAAATAAATAACTGATTTGATGAGTTTTGTTTCTGTTTCTGTTTCTTTAAAAATTGATAAATGTTTTGAAGATATCGATCTGCAAAATAGAGAATAAAATATGCGTCAGAGTCAATCGCATTGCTTCATTCAAACAATATTTGCACCTCGCTTTAAGCTCTGATAGTGCCAGCAGAGAGAAAAGAGAAAGAAAAACAAAAAAATAAGTCAGTAGAAGTATTGTAAAAGCATAAAATGATAAAAAGAAAATAAATGATTAATAACTAAAAACAGTCCATTAATAGAGTATAAAGTTAGTAAAGTAGAAAGGAATGTTAGAAATACTGTTCAATTAATTTCATCGCAAAAGACACCCGTTAATCAGTTAAGTGGCAATTAGGCATTCCAATTAAGCCAATTAATTTACCAGGTTCTATCTGAATGTACAATATGATCGATGACTCTTTGAACAACATCACTGCTCGAGTGGTGACCTCCAAGATCTGAAAGTATATGCAATTAATAACGAACATCGATGCTTCCTGATAGCTGTCATACCTGGAGTTTGAATATTATCCTCGCAAATTGTCTTAACGATGGCTTGCTGAATCATGTCTGCGTGTTGCTGATGACCTAAATGCTCGAGCATGTCTACGGATGCGTTCAACATGGCAATTGGATTGGCGATATTCTTTCCCGCGATCGCTGTGCCGGTGTTACGAGTACCAGGCTCGAAAACGGCGTACTAGAAATATCATTGATATCATTCATTGATAAATTCTTGAAAACTAGTACTTACATGATCGCCGTAATTTCTTCCGGATAGCAGACCGGCACCTCCAATCAAACCGCAGATGACGTTGGAAACGATGCTACCGTACAAATTGGTCATGATCATGACATCGAATTGATGAGGGTTGGACACAAGCTGCATGCAGCAGTTATCAATGATCATGTCATTATGTTCAATTTCTGGATATTCCTTAGCAATCCTCCTTGAAGTTTCTAAGAACAAACCATCAGAGAGTTTCCTAAAAAATGAAAACAAACATGTCACATACATAGATATAGATATTTGGTTCACTTACATGATGTTTGCTTTGTGCACAATGGTCACCTTCTTCCTTCCATGCCTCTTAGCATATTCAAAGGCCCACCTGGCTACTCTTTCAGAGTTAGATTGTGTTACAATCTTCATACTTTCTACCACACCATGCACACTCTATAAAATATATTTGTTTTATTGAGAGAACAAATTAATAAAATCTTACAAACCTCGTGTTCCAACATAGCATACTCTCCTTCAGTGTTTTGCCGAATAATAACAATATCAATATTACTTTGTCTGCATTTAACACCTGGGTAGGACTTACAGTTTAGAACATTAATAAATAAATCAAGTTCATTGCGGATGGCTACATTCCTTGACTGCACCTCAGTGTCTTCACTTTTAGTTTCAATGTTTCCTGTGCAATTACAATGCAATTACTTTTAAATAGTTTCTTAATATTTAACAACAAACCTTTAATAGCAACTCCATTCCTCTTGATCGAGGTGATGGCATGGATCAAGTCATCACTCTCATCAGTGTTTGGGTTAATGTTGATGGTCTCAAAGTCAACTGGAGCTCCAGCATAACGGAAAACGTCCCTCACATAGGCCATAAGCTCTGGGCCTATGCCACTTCCTGGTAACATGGTGACTGCATGCCTTCCACCATAAAGAGCAACAGGGATTTTTTGCTGAAGTATAAAGAAATTACGATTTGCTAATGAAACTATAATTTAATCATACCTGCTTCTTGACTAGAGGAGACTTATGCTGGATTTCGAACGCAGACAAATTAGTAGAAGCCTGAAAATCAACGATTGTAGGTTATACATTTAAGTTCGTTAGGTAACAGCTCGGTGTGAGCGCACTACAACCTTGCGGAAAGTTTTGCCTAGTTCCAAAGGCCTTTTCATGAAAATCCTGGCTGCCATTATTTGACTACAAAGGCACACTTAGCACGGCGACAAATAAATTAATGAAACTAAACCTTCGAAAGTTAAAAATGTACAAGGCATATGTCAAGCACTCAGCTGACAGACTCCCTGGGATGGTACAATTTTTAATTTCGCAATGATACCTATCCTGTTTACATCTGTTGCCAAACTGATAAAATTTGACCCTTGATACATCATCTATATCCAAATTGGTACAATGTTATTCTAATTTAAATATTACTAATAATTTAACTCAATAGTCTTATTGTTACTGATTTACATTCATTAAATTATCCAAAAGAAGTTTAATAACGAACAAATAAAGTATTTATTACATCATTAGGTAATCAACATTTAAATGTTTTATCTCTTAGGCAACCAGATGTACAAGCTACAATAAAATCAGTGGAAAACTTATTAATTGAACTCAATTGATACTACATTATGTTATTTACTAAACTGTAGTTAAAAATGTAACAATTTGTTCAAAGTAACAACTTTATTTACTATTCTAAATCTTTTAAAAAGGCAAAAAACTGATTTTAGTTCTGACGTTTTGGCGCTGATCATCAATTACAACTAGGCAACCAAACATAAATATTTCTTTCCCACTTCATTTAGCTTACGCTATTACGCCTAAGCGGAATATCGTCAGCCTCTTATCCAACTCTTATCTAACTCTACTAAAGTTAATTACTGCTGATGTTACTGCGTATGTTACTGGATAGGATTGGAGATAATGGTAATCAACAAATGGCGACAAAGCATAATTAATAAATTTAAATAACTTAATGAATGAGCTGAGCAGTCCCACTAGGATAGATGTGAGTGCGGTGAGATTGAAACTGTGGACCATACACTCTTCAGCTGCCAGATACACCATAGAGCTACCAATGAACAAATTAGCTTAAATGAAAATACCATTCCCAACATCTACAGCAGTATTAAAGGCAAAGCAAGACTGACATGTGTATGTAAACTATCATTTAATATATCCTATAAAGTTAATTAATAATTGGTGAAACTGTGCAATCTGGTGCAGTCCACAAAGCAAGTGAGGAGAGTAGAGACGAAGAAGAAATAACTTTATACCAAATAAAAGCTAGCATTTATAAGTAATAAAATGTATAAAACCACACTACATTTACAGGTACAACAGTTTAAATGCGGATTTACAAAATATGTTAGTATTAAAATTATAATATATTTAAGATTGTACTATGAATGTACTTGGTTTTTAAGTATGATATAAAATCTGGATAGAATATATAAGAACTATATTACACAGTTCTTTGTCCAATACAAGAGGTATAAGTGGTAGAAAAATAATATCATAGCATATAACTTGTTGTTATTTATTGCTCTATTTCATGTTGTTTGTTGTCATAATTATCAAATTTAAATTATGTATTTATAACATCATGAATTATGGTTAGGCAACAAAGAGTGATCTTGAGATTTAAGATTTTTAGAAGTTGCGCCATCTTTTGATGGAGAGATTACGCATTATCTTCTGCTACTGGACACCACAGACCACCAAGAAATGGTAAACAAAAAAAAATACAAACTGGAGAGTTTATTTTAAAAAATGGACCTGGCATGAATACGTAATGCCCGTATGTTCATTGTGAAGAACAGGTTTAAAATGCGTATGCATATGCACACGCCAACGAAAATACTCAGATTAGGTTACCATTCGGTCGGTCTTGTGCAATTGTTGTAAAGGAGAATGTTACTATTATATATTTGGATTTTATTTTGAAGATTATAAATTTTAAATGATTTCCGAGTGAAAATTTGATTACTGCAGTTAGGTGTATTGTAGCAGCTGCAGCCGTATGAAGTCGCCTGGGGATGGGCTACTATTTTAATTACCACCCCCTATTGCTGCTACCACCACCACAGCGCGCGCTTTACGTAACATTGCTGGCATGAGATTGGGGATTGTGATCAATATAGCCTGGGCGAGGTGCGATCGAAAAGTCGAAAATTCCAACCACCTGTGGATCCGCGGAACGTCCTCTTCTTCGTATCCTATAGCATACATAGCAATATATTCTTTTTGGTCAATGAACTCCTCATATCTCACGCATCTCCAGGCCAATTCGGAAAAAGATCCGGCTGTTATGTAACCTCCGGCAATAGAGAGGGAGGTGACCAGAAGGTGGTCGGAATAGTATGCATTTGGCTCGGCGTATCGATTGGCGGCGGCTTTTGAATAATTGATCGTGTGACTCATATGCATGTATGTATGAAGAAACAAACTTCATTATGACGTGATTACGGGACTCGCGGAACACGATTGGTCGGGTTTGCTCCTTAATTAACCCATTCATCCTTACGTCATTCGATTAACCAATCGAATTACAGCAATTCCATTTTCAAGGAAAAGCGACGCTGAATAACTATGCGAGGGGTGTTTAAAAAGAGAATATTTATATATATATATAAAAAAAAATATTTATGGTAGGAATCAATAAAGAGAATGAGCGCTCTTTGCGTGCATTATTAAAAATAATAATACTAGAAGGGTAATAATAATCAATGTCAGGTCAGGTTAAATTTAGAAGAAAAAAATTGTCACCGGATCGAATGTGGGTGTATTCGGGAAATTGCGATGGGAAAAACTCAAAGGACGAGTGTTGTTACTAAGATGGAACCGTTTTCCAACTGAGAGAACTGCTGGACCAGCGCCAAAAATCTCAAACTCGATTTCCGCATTTTATTTTGGTCCGAGGACCGGGGACTGCTCGTTATATCCGTAACGGATGCAAAACCACCTTTTCGGCCATTCATTCTGCCAAATGAAAACTCGAGAGAGAATCCGCTCTAAAACCGGCCCTGCCGCGGGCAGCGGCACCAGATTTCGCGTATTTCTGTCCCGTTTTCAATGTCAATACCACGCGGATCCCGTTTCACGTTCCTGAAATTGGGATGATCCTGGCACTTCCAGGACCTGTCCCCACCCGCAGACTGCAACAATGGTACAGCGACGTCCGATTGATCTTGGAACTGGCCGAGGAACTATCCTTCCTCCCCACTACAAGGTCTTCGCATGCTCATTTTTTTTTGTTCATAGCTTCTTTTTTGGCCTGGTCATTGACCAGGCCTGTACGCGCTACGCAACATGCCCATTATTTTCATTAGATGTCCAGACATACGACAAAAGAAATAAATTCATACTCGACGTTGTTTTTTCACGCCAGGCGACGACCGACTGTTCTGTTCTCTTTATTCACCTTCGGATTGCATACAGCTACTCTTGGTCTCAACCATTATTTTGCGAAATAACAGATAATCACTTGTTACGCGAAGATAGTATGGCATTACTGTTGTTTCATCGTGAATATCTTAGATTCGCACAATGGCGTAAGTTACTTACAACCAGAAAATCATACAAAAACGCATATATTTCAACAACAGACTTATTCTCTATAATTATTTTATTCATTATTTACTTTTAAAAAGTTCAAATTAACAACTGGAAATCCGAGTCGCCCCATGGGCAACATTAATCGTCACCCGAGTTTGAAACACAAAACTTTGATGTAACGAGCTTTGACCAAACAAATATTCTTCAGGTGCCTGCGCTTGCTATTAACCATGCATATTAAATAAAATTAAATTGTCTAAGAACAATTACATTTACTTTCAATTATGCATTTTCACTACCAAATATAATTCTATATTTGAAATACAAATTCACCAAAGCTGAAAAAATCTTATAAGTCTAAAAGTGAAAAATAATTAACTAACAATTGAATTGTAAATTTACTGGTAATATTTTAGATTTAAACATATCTGCAAATTAGAAATAATTCTGAGAATTAATAATATCTGATTATTAATCTGCTTTTATTGACTTAGCAGAACGTGCGAAAGTACTGGGAATATTTGTATTGGTATTTGTTATCAAGTACTGATTTCATTGCAAATAACACTTGTTTGTATTACGAGTATCCAATATGTCTATGCCATTTATTTCTAACAATGGTATAAGATATGACTATTATTAAACCTAAAACTTTCAACTATTAATTTTACCTATTATTGATCCATTTGACAGATGTAATTCGTTTATACAAAATGTTATTTAATATTATTATCATGTGGAATTCCTACGTATTTGACTGGTTTCCATGTTGAGTTTACTGTATAAATAATTGATTTGATAGTGTAATTTTCCAAACAATTTTAACGGATATGGGTTTCGTTAAATTATTTCAGATGGGATGTTACGTTTTCTAATTGCTAGCAATTTTCCACTTTCAAAGTCAAATTGAGTGAAAAATAAATTTTCACTGGAATTGGAACTCACTATAGTTTTTTTTTATTAAATTCATGCATTTCGATATGTTAAGTTTACTGTATGATTATGGTATAAATAATTGATGTGATAGTGTCATTTTCCAAACATTTCAAACAGAAATGGACTTCGTTAAATTATTTACGATTTCTAATTACTACCAATTTTACAGTTTCAATGTCGAATCGAGTGAAAATAAAATTTTGCATTGCATTTGTTCTGAAATTGTTTTCCACTGCTACGAATTATTTAACGACTTCGGACGAGCGCGTTTCGCTTCGAAATTAATTCATTAATTAATGCTGTGTATATGCGCAAATAGTCGACGTTTGCAAAATATTTACTGTTCAATTTCATTGCCAGATGTACGAATGCATTCGCACGCATACGCACGCACATTGACGGTTTAGGGGTCAAAGTTGCCAGCAGCAAACGTTGATTTAATTCAACAATTTCAAGACAAAATCGATAGCACGCAAAATTTAGAAAGTCTATTTTCGTTTTGTGTACATCGTTCCGTTTCGTTTTGTACTTGGAACAATCCAATTGATTTTTCCATCTTTTCCACTGTATATTTTCGTAGCATTTCTATTTATTTTATTCAGTTGATTGAGGTGTATTTATTTATGAAGAAAATGTGTTTTTCTATATGACTTTGATGACGCGTTCAAACGTATGCAGTTTCAACAACAAATAATTTCAGCTAAACTCCAACTGAAAACGTGTATCAACTACAACTTTAAAAGAAATATGCAAGAAATTAATAATATATTCTTTCAATAATGCATTTATTTAATTGAATTAGGTTTAGGTTTTATGAATTTAAAAAAAAAACGGGGTCACAGCGATTCAAACTTGAATTAAGTTTTCTTTGAAAACTTTGTTTCGCTTCTTTTCAAAGTCAAATCATGTCAGTCACGTTATTTTATAATAGGTTAAAGTTGAATAACCTATTTTATAATTATTTTTAAATATTTGTAATTAAAAGTATTAATTAGCAAAATTTATTTATATATAAACAAAATATTATTAATTAAAAATAATATGACTAAAATTAACTTTTTTTAAATTATTTTCTACATCATTTTGCAGTTATTTTAAAGCAATATGAAAGTAATAGAACAAGAAAATACAATATAACGAAATGTGGTTTTTATACGTTCGTTCTTTACGTTAGTCTTCGTGCGGTTCTACCTTTTTCCCCACGGTAGTTCGAGTTTTTCATTTTCAGATCGATATTACCTGAGGCTAGTCATAGTTTTCGAGTACCGACATCACGGCGACAGCTTTAATAATTCCCATCGTTTCTTGGAGACCAGTATCCGGTTATGGTTTTATAGACCTTATCTGGTGGCATCGCTATCATATTCACCGTGAAATCAGTCCTCTGGTCGTCCGTCATGTCACGTCTGTAGAACTATCATGGGTCGCATTTCAGACGAGAAGCGTTTTTCCCTCTAACATAAGTATTCACAACTTCATCAGCGGGGTGTAAAAAGAATAATGAACACAAAAAAATGACCTTGGACAGCACAAATTGCACAAATTCAAGGCAATTTTTCGAAAAGTACCTGCATCGAAAATTCACGCTCAGACTGTGTCACGGTCGACGTTACCAAAATTTGGATGCGGCATAATCGTAGTAATAAATGGAACATGGAGCTAATTGCTCTGTGTCATGATTGAGTCAGTGCATTAGAGACTTTCTAAAAGGATCATGCTCGGACATATGTCTCACGTGTTTCTTTCCATTGAGGGATCCGATGTAAACAGATAATGATTGACTCATCATTTGCCAGTCGCCCGTATCATTTTTCCTTATGTTTCATTTCCATTTGTTTAATATTTTTATTGTCCGTTCGCAGAAACACTGTGTTTTGTAATCGAGATTACTCATGTGTTCAGCTAATCAGTGCACCGTTGGCGGTAAAACAATATACAAACAATGGCATTATTAAAAATTTGTTGCTTACGTCGATAGTTATGTTAATAATTTCGAGTGAACCGTTCCTTGGAATATTCGATATTTCGCCCATAAGCCATTCCTAGAAAGTTATTTATTCTTGTCCACCGTTTGTCTTTCTTTTCCGTTCGGTTTAGCCTTCGTACACAGAAATACGTTTTGTCATTATCTGGAAAATTGAATATTTACAATGATTGCATTCACCATAGGTTACCTTATCCTTTCCTCATACAAAGCAAACTTTTTTCTATGAAAAAAAAACCTTAGGCTAGGTAACATAAGTTTTCAAATAAAACCTTAAATTATATTTTTTATTTGAACATTGTAAAAATGTTATAAATAAATTAAAAATCTGCAAGATTATAGATATTTCTTTACATAATCTAGTAATTCATTTGGTTATTTTTTTTTTGGTTTTGTATAAACAAAGATTATGGAACATTATTACTTATGTCATAGTATTTTATAAATAACATATGTAATTATTTGTGCAGTGAAAGCTTTCGCAAGTCGTCCGTTTGCGTTATGCAATTGATTGTTAATATTTGAACATCTTATATGTAGGTTAAAAAATTCCGTTTGGTTATTTTCAGTGAAGACGTATTTGCTTTCATGTATTTTTGAGCAGCATTTCTGATTATTTGTTTAAGGTCAATGGTAATGAAACATTGATGCGATCGGAACGAGGATGTTCCGCGCAACTGGTTGAAATATTAAAGGGCCGGCCAATTGCGATGTGTAAGGAACTAGATGGAGGCGGCGACGACGACGACGGCGGCGGCGGTGACCCTTTATTTATTCAAGGTACAGCATGAAAATAGATTAAGGTCAGTCGAAATTCGAGCGACGACCATTAGCTGGGCGTTTTACCGTTGGAGGTAATGAATGCAAATGAATTTCTAACGACGATAAAGAGTACGTCCAGATTTTCGCGTTAAGTCTGAAGTATAGGGTTTTGCGGGGTGTAGGAAGGGGCGATTTCTAATACGCAAGGGTCACCACATATATGTATACTTTCACTATTGATATTACGAATACTTTCCTTTCATACAAATAATATAAATACTAAATTGATAAATCAATATGAATATTTATAATAACACAAAATAGAATAAAATAAATCAACTAGTTTGACATTTATCGATTTTGAGTAAACACTATTCATTGAATATTCATTTGAATTAATATGGTTGTAGTTCAGTTATGACATTTAACAGTTTTTAGTAATAAAATTTCGAATATTATAATAATTATACTTAGAATAATTGACTTTTAACCTTCAAAGAAATTGTAATTTATTAATAACAAATATTAATATACAAATTACATAATATACCTAAACACTTGAATATTATATAACAGTAAGATTTACTATGAAATAAATATAATTTTGCATTTATTTATTTTTTTTTTAAATCGAATCCAGTAACTTAATATTTTCAGAATAATGTTGTACACTTTCTTTTGCAATAATCCATTAGCTTGTACGCTTTATTTACATATAAATATATTTTTTCAGTTTTAATTTTCATGAGATAATCCATTAAAGTATTGATTACATGTTGCACTTAATAATATTTTTTATCAATCTACAAGAAAGAAAAAGCAATAATGTTTATATATAACATTTACATTTAATTATTAGGTATAATTTATGTGTTTTTGATAGTTAGTAAGTCGCTGTTAAAATTTTTTCATAAAATTATTTCGATTTTGATCAAAAACTATCAATTTATAGCTAACGGATAATGAAAATAAGTTACTGTATTAATTGTTACATTTAGAGGTTAATTAAAGTCGCCAAAATGAAACTATTTGTAACATTTGTAGGTTAACCGGTTAACTGTAAGTGGTTGTCAAATTTTGAATTTCTGTTTATTTTTTTAGATTTTCTCCAGAAGACAGTTCAAACTGATTCAAATATTGTATATGCATTTGAAAGCTAATTCCATAGGGAATAAAATGAAGCCATTTTTAATAACTGTAACAGTTATCTGTTTCTTGTAAATTGACTTCAAAGTAGATTTTTGATGCTTAAAATAGTATTATCTCTAGATTTTTAATCAGTTGGTCTAGTATGAAAGTTCATGTGATTGGTCGATCTGTAGCATAATCTGAAAGATCAAATGCATCGTTTGTAATATGGTTTGAAATTGTGAGGGTTGTGTCCAGTTGTGTCTGGTTGCGTTGAAGCGTTGCGGAGTCGGTATGCTTGGTGCACTGGTGTCGACCATGGGTATAAGGATTGAGAAGCAAGAGGCAAGCAGCAAGAGTTAGGCAGGCAGGAGCGCTTATTAGACGGAACGAATCCGAACTAGTAGTCACTAGCTGTTGCTCCGCGCGTAGCTCCACGGCCCTCGGCAGAGAGTCGGTTGTGCAGCTATCCACCATCCAGTCATCCAGCCATTCAGTCATCCAACCCAGGCAAGCCGTGCGTGCGTGTGAGTGCGGTGTGGAAGTGGAATGAGCAGAGCAGAGCGGAGAGTTTCAGTGAGGAAAGATGGCCGTCAAATAAGCACATTTTCTTTGTTACAAATGGTGTGTTTGTAAATTAAAATCGCAGCGGTCGCTGTCCGGATTGCCGGGCGATACTGGGTAGGTCCGGATCAGAGGGTTCCCATCGGTGGATGTGCTGCGGCGTGAGCGGAAGCGTGATAAACAGCAGCCCGTGTTTTCGGTAGTTTTCAAGTGTCTTTGCCCCCTTATAACTACTACTATCCGCTCTACTGGTTGGTCGTTCAACCTAATGAAATCTCGGAAATGCGCTTGACTAACACCAGAGATGTCTAGTGCCACAGCGAACCCCATCAAAATGCCCCTGTCTCGTAGCACGTTACTAGAACTTCCACCACCAGCACACTCCTACAATCAAGATGGGGTCCTGCAACCAATGAAATCAAACATGAAGGAATACAGCCCTCCAGCCACATCGGCTGCTTCCTCCATGTTGCCCGAGCTACCTATTGCCTGGGTTAGAACCAAGGCTCCAACACCCACATCCAACTCAAGTACCCCCCAGCAGCAGCAGCAACAACAACAGCAACAGCAGCTACTCACCAGGAAAACAATGGTGGCTACACCCGAGCAAGTGCTCAAAATCTACAGACACAAGCTCACCCCCTATGAGCACCGGGAGATATTCCACTACAATCAGATTTATTTCATCGGGGCCAATGCTAAAAAACGCCCTGGCATCATAGGTGAGTTGGAATTCATTAACAAAAGGCCACTGACCAAATACCTATCTACCTGCATCCCAAAAAAAAAACAATTCCCCACAAAACATGTGCTTTATGCTCAATTCTCTCTCTCTCCTTATATATTATGCACCTGCCCACATCATGCACAAACCTCAGAAGAAAGGAAATATTCATTTAGACCTTGAAACCGTTTTGCAAATCTAACCAAAACATTTTCATAAATATAAATATTTACACCTGCAATTGGTTTGTCTCTCAAACCAAATGCATATCAGTTGATTAAGCAATCAACTAACAACAATTTCCGTTGCCTAATAATACATCCAAACAGAAAATCACTACAAATCCATTCTCTTATTATTCATTTTAATACAAGTACATTTATTTAAATACTCCAAGTTTCTTTCTATTAATATCCTTCCAAAGTAATTTACAAACAATGAAGGAAGTCGTAAATATCGAGAGTTTCGTGTCTACGAAACAAAATGAATTTTTAAACAAGCGTCTTGGTTAAGAAAATTCTATGTTTATTTATATACACCGTTTACCTAATTAAAATCAATCGAATTTATTAAATATTAAAAGTTGATTGCTAAAAATATACATCATTATATTTTACAAACATTTCCAATTATTTCACAATCGCAATTGTTGCCACATTCGTGATTTGTTACGTTTCATAATGCAATTTGTATTATTCATTTGCAATTATAGTAGATGTAACTGTAGATGGAACTTTATTGTTTGTTTCTTGCACCATGACCTCCAATTAAAAATTAAACGATAGATACAAACAATTATAGATTTATTGGTTTACTATTGTCTATTGTAGTAGTACATCTATGAGGTGGTTTATAACTTAATCAATATTTACTCCTTAATATTTATCCTCAATCCAAGTACTATTTATAACATACCTTGGCTTAACTTTTGTAATTGATTTATACAGTATTATAAATGTATTTGATTGTTGTATTATATGAAACTTTAATTTTATTTCAGTATAATGCATTAATTTTCAATGAAAACTAGTGCTTTTAAGGAATTATATATTTCATGCAGTTTCTGATCAAATCATCGAAAAATGTTCAATTCGATTTAGAAAAATTATGCCTTCATTTGCAAGTTTTCTATAAATTTGTTAATTTTAGATTGAATATTTTCAATGTTAATATGTGCTATTTATGAATTGTTTATTTTGAATCAAATTATCGAAAAATGTTCAATTTGATTTACAAAAATTAACAACATTTATCAATGAATTATATATTTTCATATTAAATGCCAGATGATTTGTTTGTCTTTATTTCCTGGTTACTTAAGTATTGTAAATGTAAAAAAAAAATCATTTTTTCTTATATTCGTTGGTATAATAATGACCAAAATGTAAATTGAGTATCAATGCTCAATGATTTTATTTACTGAAAGTGTTATCGTTTTGTTAACGTTAACTGGAAGTTTATAAAACAGTATGCAATCTATTCTAACTGTACCTTGAAATGTATTCTTGACCTCCAGTTAAACGTTAAAACCGGGCATGGGAAAACCATAGTTTTATGTGTTAATTAACTGTATATATGACTTGATTTATTGCAAATATGAATTGATCCAAAAATTATTTAATTTTTAAACGTTTGCTAATATTGTTATAATCAATGCAAAATGAAATTTTCAAGAATCTTTTGTATTTTTATAACCTAAACTTTAATATGAATATAAATATATTAATGTAATGAAATATTATTTCTGTGTATTTGATCAGAAAAAGAATAGATATTAAAATAAGGTTCATAACCTCCCGGTTAACATTAATCCCAAGGTTAATGCATTGACGTACATAAAACGTACATATTTATAGTTTTCTGAAAATCTACGATATATTTTTTTTACGTACCTTGAAATGTCTATAAAAATAATACAATGTTGTGCGTAACTTTCAAATATTTATCAATAAGATATATAATTGATTAATATCACTTAAGGTTATGAAAATATCAAGTTTTCTTTTGAAAGTACATAGTATATTAAGTATTACAAAAAAAGTTTATACCTTTTCATCTTTGAAAATAATCATATGGTTGTTATTTACAACCAACGTATACTCAAATGGAATATTAATTATTGTAAGGATGGACAAGCTTTGACGTTTGACATATACAACCTATTAACATGCAGAATATTAATAACTATTTATACATCTGAACCGATTATGATGAAATTGTTAAGCTAATGAAAGTTGCATTCAGTGAACACATGATCACGTCTTTAGGATTTAAGATTCTTTTAAGCTAATAGGGGAATCATCAGTTATAATTCGTTGGTTAAGCTTGTATCTACGAACCCGGTTAGTCTACAAGCAACTGAGAATTGCGTAATCAATGACGGTTTCTACACAATTGGTGAAAATATATGCCATCTGTGCGTATATCGAACGTAGAAGTGAAAAAAAAAAACAAATAGAAATAACTGCAAAGTTGTTACGAAGACGTTTTGAAGAAAACTTTATTTTTACACACTCGGCTTAAAGAAAGAGCAGCGGACATAAAACGAAAAGAGATGAAAAGGAATATGAAATGAAATAAAATAAACGCTTGCCAAGTCTAGCGTTCCGCGATTATGTAACAAGTTGATGGAGGCAGGCAGGGAACCATACATTTTGGACTAATTGCCGTGCATCGTAATTGGTACAAACGGTTTGCACCAACTATTTTGTGCGATATTGTCGTGAATTTCTGGTGCTGTTTCATTGTAGGCAGCGACTGTTCCGTTTCAACGGGATTCGATGTTAGATGCCTTTCGATACGCCGACGGAACCAACTATCGGGTGTTCCCAATGCAGTGGTTAAATATAAATACACTGTGGCAATTTGCTCGGTTTTATTGTCAAAGCTGAAAAACGGGTATTTCGAACATATTTAGCAAATCCATCCAATCAAATTTACGGCGTTGATGAATGTGTTTTTCCCTTTTGTTTTCAAATATTTTTTTGGTCGTTTGTAGTGTGAAATGTAATTAACGTTTGGCACGGTGCGTTATATATGTATATAATATTTTTTTTGGTATAGTCGGACGATTTATTTTCGGTTGACTGTGCTTTAGAACAAAGCAAACGCTCCGAGCTTCGCTAAATGGAATTTCGCGAATGTAACACATATTTAATGAAGTCTGCCACTGATTATACAAAATCCAATGTAATTTACGTCTAGGTGGAAACCATATTTGCACAAGTTTTCATTCGCACTTTTGAACCAACGCTCTTTATTTACATTTATTTCGATTCGCTTAAATAACATTTCCATTGAGCAATTACCATTTCATTAGCCACAAGCTAAATTGCTACAACACACATACACATTCACGATTAATTGCTTTTCGTGATTATGTACGTGTTTTTTTTCTCTATGAGATTTTTTTTTCATATACCAGTTTCGTAAGTCCAAGTTAACTTTCTTCGGTTGCTTTACGAGAGTAATTCGAAATATGCTTAGCGAATGTACCTGTTACGCAACGCAACCGTGAACCTCGGTATTGTCCTCTTTGTGTTGTCGCTTGTTTTAAAGATTTCGTTGCAATTAAATGGCTTATATTATTTTTTTTTTGCAAAGCGCGCGCGTTTCGTTCGCTTTTTGCAATTCGCTTTTGTAAACATTTTCGCTTTACCGTTAATTAGAGTTTGATCAAGAACAGTTACTATTTCCTGTTTGAAAAGTCTTTGCACTTCGCCGCTCGCCTGCCAGTTTTTGACCGACTACAGTTATTTGTTTCACATTGGAAACCAGAGAGTTCGGATGCCATAGCGCTCGTAATCTTGATGATGATTTGATTATATTTCTTTAAATCTCTGTTTGAGTTCTTTATGAGCATAGCTGAAAATTCGGTGTTTCGATTTTGATCAAGGACAATTATGATTTCCGGCGCTTTGAGAAGTCAGATTTTTTTTTTGATTTTATCACTGCATGTGGTCATTTCCTGTAGGAAAAGTGTTTAGAATGTTGACCTGCAAGTTTACATATGAGGTGTTTCTCTCAAACCATACTTGAAATTAAATAATGCATAAGCTTTAAACATAAACAAGTTTTAAACGTAAGCAATTTACTGAAATAATAATAGATCTTTTTTTTATCAAAACGTTCACGTTTCATGCCAACGTACGCATAATGTTTGATTGTATATTACACAATTGGTAAACAGGAATTAATTTTATCTGAAAACGTGTGTATTGTCATTATCAGTCAGTATATCAGTCGATAATGCTTATCACCTACATTCTTATAACTAATTACTTATGTCTGCAAGATTGCAGTCGATAACGATAAGATAATAAGCGAGCCGATGACACGTTTAGTATTTAAAAACAATAATTGCATGCTCTATTTGCTTGTGTTTTGCGCTAGTCTCGGTTGGTCACTGGTTTACATAAGCAATCCATTATTCAAGTGCAAAAACGAACACTGTGTAACGTACATAAAGCAATCAGTTACCAAACGCCCTTATGCAAAGTAGCTTTGAATATTTGTAAAGGATAATAAGACTGATATATTAACATGATCAATTTTAGATTTCTGTTCGCATTAATATCTTCATGATGTATTCATTTTGATATTGGATGTGCATCTACTACGTTAAAATCGAAATATCCAACTTCAGATGTCGTTTCAAAATATTCCAACAGTGGTTAATCCTAGTATCATCATACGCTTAGGCAAGTCGCGCAAATCTATTTCCATGCAGGCTTAACGTTGTAGCATTAAGCGAGTTGCGTAATATATCTTCTGCTGTATACCCAAAATGGGTTATGCAATCAGCTATATTTATTGCGGATGCGTTCGCAATAACCAAAATTAAAACAGTGATATTCCGAGGGGGCACAGGATGAGGAAGCAGCGGTGACGGAGAGGATGTTGTTGGTTGATGGGAGATCTCACGTTGAATGGGACGAGCAAATTAATTGATTAATTGTTTACGAATTTATGAATAATGCATTTGGAAGCATCGAACCGCCTTGAATCGGTTTCTTGTCCTTTCATTCAGATCGCTTGGCAAATTTACAATTTGAGAGAAAGGCGAATCCCAGGATAAAAATAGTCAGACGTGTGTGTGTATGCGCATTTTTTTTTGTTGCTTCTGAATGGATATCAAAATTAGATCTCGTTTGAGGCAAAACATTACTAGGTGTGCGTTTGCTTGTATTTGTTTCATGTCTTTCCTCGCTGTTTGTTTGCTATTCTCTGTCCCGTCATATCCTTATAATGAGGTTGATGAGAGTGGCAATGGCATTGACAGGAGGTCAGACTCTTGTACCATCTTATGTAAATATTTTTATTTGCCTAAGTCATTTGCGATCGGAGCTGGTACAACAAACGGCTCTCTGGACTGTGACCAACATTATGTGCGTGCGTGTGTCTGTTTTTTATTTGTATTATTGCACCAGCCTCGTTTATAAATAAACCGTCGGGAATCAAAAACTGGCCGAGCCGCGGAACAGGAAAACAGTATTATTTATACAATGAAGGCGGACCTCATACGTAGCTTTTCCTGTTTCCTTTTTAATGCTATCGCTTTACTCCGCGAGAGGAATTCTTTATTCTTTTATTACTTTAGCTTCTGGAAGAAACATTGTTTGTTTTAATTGGTGGCTTGCCCCAATTAATATTACAAGTCGCTTTAAATTGATCAATTAACCTATTGCATGCATTAGAAACAATCTTTAAAGCAAGTCATCAAACTGTAGTCTGTGAAAGTTTTAAAAATACTAAAGTTTTTTTCATGTTTTCTTGATTTCAGGGGAACCATACAACTGTGATTATGATAATGGTCAAGGATCATATATACATATACCTCACGATCACGTGGCATATCGGTACGAAGTGCTGAAAGTCATAGGCAAGGGTTCATTCGGGCAGGTTGTGAAAGCCTATGACCATAAGAACCATATACACGTGGCGCTGAAGATGGTGCGGAACGAGAAGAGGTTCCACAGACAGGCCCAGGAGGAGGTGCGCATATTGGAACATCTGCGGAAGAAGGACAAAGATAACAACATGAACATAATCCACATGCTGGACTCGTTTACGTTTAGGAACCACATGTGCATTACTTTCGAGCTCTTGTATATCAATTTGTATGAGCTTATCAAGAAGAATAAGTTCCAAGGATTCAGTATCCAATTGGTGCGCAAGTTCTGTCATTCGCTGTTGCAGTGCCTGGACGCGTTGTACAAGAATAAGATCATCCACTGCGATATGAAGCCGGAGAACGTTTTGCTGAAGCAGCAAGGACGCAGCGGGCTCAAGGTATATACGAAAAAATCAATTAGTTTTAAATTCAAGCGTCGGGGCGCGCGGAAAAGTGCGAATCGATAAACCAGTTGGCATCACCTACGCATGTGTTTTAGGGCAGGTCTGCTAGTCCTGGTTTTTCAATGGTTCCGAATGCTTTGCCCCATTTTGTATTTTTGCATGTTTCTATGAATAATAGAAGGACGCGTCCAATCCAGATATGAATAAATATTTTATCAATGGCCTGGATATGCGACTGCGTACACTCTGTAACAAAGTAGATTATCTAATTTGCGAATAGACAGTTGCGTTATGTGGATTTTTAATTTCAGGTGATAGATTTTGGATCGTCGTGTTACGAGGATCAGAGGGTGTACACGTACATCCAATCTAGGTTCTACAGGGCGCCGGAGGTGATACTGGGTGCTAGATATGGCATGCCAATTGATATGTGGTCACTGGGATGCATCTTGGCCGAATTATTGACAGGGTTCCCGCTGTTACCGGGAGAAGATGAGGCCGATCAACTGGCATGCATCATGGAATTGCTGGGTATGCCGCCCCAGCGATTGCTCAGACAATCCAAACGGGCCAAGAATTTCATCAGTTCGAAGGGATATCCTAGGTACTGTACGGCTCAAACGTTGGCGGATGGAACCACGGTGTTGTCTGGAGGATTGAGTCGTCGAGGAAAGCCACGAGGACCACCCGGATCTAAGGAGCTGAAGCGAGCGCTGAAAGGATGCGACGACCCCTTGTTCATAGATTTCATCAGGAGGTGTTTGGAATGGGACCCCGACCATCGCATGACCCCGCACGCAGCTTTGAGGCACACCTGGCTCAGGAGAAGACTGCCTCGGCCTCCTGACGAAGAGACCAAGCAGCAACAACAATGTAGTAGTATTAGAACTCCAATCAGTTCTACCGTTCGGGTTCAGTTAAGTGATGAAAGATCTGCGACATTACATTCACAACATAGTAATCACTCAGGCAAGTTGCCACCAATTTCATAGCCATGTGTCCCTATACATTGTGATTACTTTAGATTAGTTTTTTAGTTAGTTCCAATGACTGGGGTATTCCACTCGAATTGCAGAAAATATAATTATCATCAAAAATAATTCATTAACTATCACGCAATACAATTATATAATTACGTTTTTATTTTAATTAATTTTTAATTTTTGTAAATCCAATGTTACTTTGCGTATTTGTTCACTAGGCATTTTCTCGAGTTCATTTTGCCTAAGCTCTCGGTAAATCCCTGAGCCCTTGTGATTGTGATTCTAAACTATTCGACTCTTCTTTCATAACAACCAAATCAAACGAAGCGTTTATAATCGATTACTACTTACAATTATAGTTTTTTTTTATTAATTTTCATTAATTATTTACGATTATTTTTTAAAGCAAAAATAATTCATATTATTTTGAAACTATATTAATTTGTTCGTGCTTCATGATCTCAGTGATTCAAGCGTGCGGGAGGGATAAAATGAGTAAATCTAATCCTTAACTTCAGTATTTTCTATTCGCTCGATGAATCTGTTGATTTTCGCAAGAGGGGGAAACACTTTAGTGTATTAATTATTATTAATTATCATTTTACCCGATTTATTTTTGTTTGTTTTCCTTCCTTGTTCTAATTTTATATTATATATAGTATATATATATATATTGTGATCGAAAATGTCAAAAACCCATGATTTTTTTTGTATTTTAATTAATTTATTATAACCGATTGTATGTTTAATTTAATTTTTTAAATTCTCTTATGTAAGACGTATTTCAATTCAGACGATCATATGAATGTGAGAAACAGAGGCAATCAATTTTTCTTGACTAATTGAACAAAGTAACGCGTAATTTAGAGACTAAATGAAGCAGTTAGTTCTTTTTTAAATATAAATATTAATATTGATTTTTTTGTAAGGCCAAAGACAATCCGCGTTTAGACATCTTGCCGTCAATGTTCTTCTAATTAATAAATTCTATTTGTGCGTACGCAAGCAATAACGATTTGTCTTCCAAAAGTAACGTCCCTTTTTGAACAAAATAAATAATACAATATATGTAAAAAGACAAAGACCTTTTGCTCACGATCGTTGCAATGTAAATGTAAGTAAATGTTTTGATTAGTCAGGAATGTTGATCAAGCCGACCTTCCATCGACTATGGGACAATGTGTTACTTATATATATATATTTATCAATTTTGACTGTTTTCTTCGAATTACGTATTTTATTTATATATATATGTAACTGGTTTGCAGCACAAGTGCAGTTTAATGTTAATAATCTTTTGTAGCACACTTTGTTTTTGTTTTGGAGACACGAAGCACAATCCGGTGAACTGCACGCGCCCAATGTTCGATGGAAATATGTTTTATACTCGCCATTTTATAAGCATTTTATGTTCACTTCTTTTGTAATTATTATAATTTGACTTAATCTAATAATGCTAAGATGACAAATCTCTTACCCCGCTCATGTTAATCCTGCTTGAATCTTTACATTTGAGCTAGGACATTTTGTGTACGTATTTTATTTTGTACTTCACGCTCCTTTCGTTTTTGATACTATATAGTTTTAGTGATTGATCGTGCGTCAATTTCAATATATATACGTGTATATATATATATTTTGTCGAATTGTATTCGCTGGGTAAACAAGTTCAATTGAACAGAGCAAGAGCAAACAGGAAGGAAGATTATCGATATGTTGATTTGTTGTTTTCTTTTGTACGTTGGTGATGTTCCGTCTGCGCCTAAAGCAGATGCCGACACGTCCAGAATCTTATTGATAGTGCCTATATGAAAAAAAAAAATAATGAAAAAGAGAAAAAAAATGAGAGTACGAAGTAAAGAAAAAGAATTATAATACTGAAAAAGTAATAATAAATAAATATAAACTAGTGTTTGTTAGTTCGCGCTAATTTGCACTCTTTTTTTTAACTGTAAATATTTATTATAATAAAAAAAATAATAAGTTTCGTATTAACTGGATGAGAGGTGTACGACAAAAGGGAAAGTTTATTCGAGCAAAGAATATGGCGGCTGTGCTCTTTTTACCACCCCTATTTACCTTCAGTAGAGTCTGGGTCAAAGATGGTTAAACTTTGACCCTTCCGGAATCGCATTTTTCGCTTCTTGTTTCATTAAAAACAAAAATTATATACATATATATATAGAAAGAAAGGAAACGCATCGTTGATGATAATCATTTTTGTTTGTTTTTTTTTTTAAATTTGTTGTATAACACTTCTCTTAGTTCTTAAGCCCATCAACCCCGAAAAAGTGCGAGGTGATCTGACGAAAGAAAACAACCCTGTGCAATAATTTCGACCAAACGCGTTCATGTTCTCAATTAAAATCGAAATTAATTAATTAACTAGACTTTTTTTTTTTAATTTAGCGCACTTTTCTGGGGCCCATACTATTCACTATGATTATATAATTTTCGTTTACTTTTTTTTTGTAATCTCTAGTTTTATTGTTATCATCATTATTATTATTTTTTTACTGTTTCTTTTTTTTATATTATTTTTTTCATTTAATTTAAGTAATTCGACTGAAATAGTAGTCTATTTCCGAATGAGACGAAACAAGCAAAAACAAAATAAGCCAGCGCACATAGCTGGAATAGATGATAGATTGTTTGTGTTTCAATCGAAATATTTCCGTCTCGTTCTTTTTTTGCTCATGTTTATTTTTATTATATACTACTATTATTATTTTGTCTTACGTGTATGGATGCATTTGAATCTTGTCAGTTGTTATTCCAAATGAATCCTTTAGTTGGGAATAACCTCTGCCCGATTTTCAGCGCGAGAGAGAAAGAGTGAGAGAGAGGAAACACGAAATGCGTTTATGTTCGAATTGCTCTTCATGACTTTGTATACTTAAGTAACTTTTAAAAATAAATGCCAATCGTAGTTCGTAATGTATTTAATCCATACTTAAACCGTTTCTTAGATCGTACGATAGTAACTGTAAATGCAATTTGAACATAAAGGGAGGATGGCTAAGGCAGTTCACTATGTTTTAAGCAGTATTCAATTATGTGTTTATTATTTGTATTTTATTTTCCCATTTTATACCACTGATCTATGATGTTCGCTACTAAAACCCAAAACGAGGAAAGCTACTTTCAATGTTTTTCCTATCCTATCGCTGGGAGTTTTAATAACTATTTTAGGCAATAGTTTTACGTCCTTTATTTTTTTTTACAATTTATTTTTGGTTTGTTCTTTTTTTTATTCGTTGTAACTGTGGGGGGCCACTGCTCATATGTACATATTTAGGACTCTCCTCCAGAATCACGGAGAGCCTTGATCTCTTGTATTTTTTTTTATATAATTATTTTATTTAATGAAATACGGTTAATTTGTGTGTGTGGGCTTCGAAACGCTCAGGCCTTACTATATAATTATTGACTACAAAACCCGGAAAGAGATTGAAACTAATGTTTTATGATGGACAGTCCACTGCTCACTGTAAGAGATGCGTCTGCGTTCAAAACATCAGGGCATGAATGAAATACAAATTATGATCCCTAGACAATAGAGTCATTTATATATACTAACTGTGTACTATATCAGAATAAATGTATATTTTGCAATAAAACTAATAATTGGTAATAATGATAGGTCAACATTCGAGCGATAATTTGTTTAGATGAAACTAGGAATTCAATGGTTAGGTTTGTTAAAAGATTAAGAGAGAGGAAAAAAAAGTAATAAGCATTTGACATAAAGGCAATTGAAGTTGTTAGAGCAATTACAAACTCGATTCATCCAGGATAATAATCAATTTTTTGATGTGTTGAACTTTTGAATATCTCATCACCAGACCATTTAGGAACGAAGACATTTGTGTACAATTTGTGTAAATAAATGAGAAAGATAAAAAAAATATTGATAATAATAATGGAAATAAAATTAAACTGATTTGCAATGTGTGTGATTTTCCGTCGATACATTATTTTCGTTCTGATTCAATTTTCTGTCCTGATTCATGCACCAGACTGTGTTCTATTTTTTTTTTGTAATATTATTAACGTGTTTTATGTTATTCACATACAAAAAATCTTGTTTTTAAGTTTTTTTTTTAAATGTTGTCCACTTCTTGTTGACAAAACAGGATCTTGAAGAAATAACAACAAATAAACAACAATTTTCATGACCTAACTTACTACTAAGGTTCGCTAATCCAGATGTTTAGAGCAAAGATGTGATGAATGTATTATAGTTAAATCATGTTTATATTAATATCATCATCATACTACTAGAATTTTAATAAACTTCTCTTTATTATATAAATCGTTAAAAATTATAAAAAAAATGTTTTTTTTTTCACTTATGATTTTTTACTTACTAGTAAAATTTTTTATACAAAGAATTTATTATATAACTCAGATAAATAAAAAAAATTGTTATGATTTCTCAGGTTGAACACATAATTATGTTTATAGATGGGAATAACAATAATTTAACATACAAATTTAAAAAAAAAAGATCTCTTGGTTATCTTTACATAATTTCTATAAAGTGTCTGTTTTGAGAAGCTGATATCACGACCAACAGGAGCCCTTGATTTATAGGTAATTGTAATTTTATATGTAATTTAAAAGTTTTATATAAAATTAATATGTTTAATCATTCCAATTGTCAAGTTGTCAGCTTGAAAACAGACGAATATTTAACAACGAATAACCAATGAATTGAAGCTGTGTCCCATTTACATTCCGAATGTACACGAATCTGGCAAAAGCCCAGTTGCAACTAGTAATTATTAAAATCCTATTAGCAAGTGCATTTGGTTGCGGTATCAGAATGTACATTTTCTAGTTCAATTAAAAGTGATATAATATTCGTTTGTCATTTAGCCGTAAATCACAGTAAAACTTGAAGATACATTTTTTTAAGATTCGAAAAGCATTTTTATACCTTGAAAAGTATGGACGATAAATTCATTATTAAGCAAACAAATTAAAGATAAATCTTCATTATGTATTATTCTATCGTTGATCATTCACTTGTAGAAACGTTTTCTTAAGCTTCGAAAAAGCGGTGTCTTATTGTATAGGCGACAAATTCATTATTAAGTAACCAAATTACATTCTTTAAAATGTACTGGTATTGTTATATCGTTTGTCATTTAGCAGTAATGAATGAGTTTATTACAAAACTAGTTATGAGAATGTAAAGTTGCATATCTAATATGTACACCTTCAATTTAAAATTACTTTTAACTGAATTGCCGAGACTCCGATTTGAAAGCAGTTATTTAGTATTGACTACATGTCACATGTTTAACCCGGTAATTCAGACTAGATTAGGTAAATCATGAATTGGCGAAATTGAGCAAAATGCAGGGGAATTGTGGATGGGAAAAGAGAAGTAAAATTACTTTCTTGATGCATACTTCCACTATTTTTTTTAGAGTTGAATTATGAAAAGTATAAGTATTATTTTTATAATAAAGAATAATAAAAAGTTAACAAATACTATATTTTCTTCAGAATGATTCAGAACTATAATAAAATCCCTAATTTATAAACAATGGTACTGCAATAAGGATAATGTACTCACTAAAACAAAACATGTCGAATCCAGGAATTCATAAAAACAACCCACCGCAAAGCTGTTGTATTCCAAACATATCCACTGTCCGATTTCCTCTATTATGCAATGAGGGCGCATCGATAATAGATTGGATTTTCATTTCAATTACGCTCAGATGCGCCCACTGTTTCCTAATTGATTAGATTGATTATTTACCTTCAATTAGAATGCAATCTAAGTCTGCACGACCGGGATTGACGTGCGAGGTAATTATCTGCATTGGGTTTGATCAGTCCAACTGTGGATGGTGATGAAATGCAGAACAATTTCGAAACATGGCAACAGTATGTTTATATAAAAAAAAGTGTTGCATTGTAAGCAAGTTTTAAATCGGATGACTACATTGTTTTGATATTACTAAATATTGATTGCAAGAAACAATTGCTCATTTTCTATATTATCTACTTCTAATAATATTTCTATTTAAAGCATGTTTAATATTTCAATTTTGGAATTGTTTCATTTACAAGTGTACACTTAGATAAATCATCATGGAATTTTACAATAATCAACGTCTTGAGAAGTCATAAGGGTTAATTAGTATTCATCAATTAATTATTTACAATGACTACAAAAAAAAAATCAGCAATCTACGCAAATAATGAGTGAAAACAAACAGTAATTGTCTAAAAATAGAAATACTCTGATTATTTGTCTCCACCGTCATTAAAAGCGGCTGATAATATTAAGCCAAGTTCGGATAAATTTTGCAAAATAATATTGAATATTAAAATTTGATATTCCTTTACAGCTTTACGTGTAGTTTGTATTATTGACCATTTTATACCTGACTAATGTAATTTACAGAACATTTTGTCTATGAAAAACTTAAGTGGATTTTAAACAAGAATTAGCGTTTGGAAAGTTTTACTAAAACGCATTACTTTAATATTTTCAATGAGATAAAGAGGTTTTGCGTCAATTCACTGATAAGTGCATTCAATTAATTCCGATATACTTCTAATGTATTCTTAGTTCGAAACCTTTCAATTAATTGCCTAATGATTAGCAACTTGGTTGTAATCAACTTTAATTGGTAATCTAGAAATTTCGACATTTACATTATCGGATTATAGTTTCTTGTGATTTACTTTAACAAGAAGATTAAGAAATGTAATTAAAAAAATCCAATGTATCCAATGATTGATTAAATTTCTGCGAAATACGTAATCTTTATGAGAGTTTCGTTTCCTGCTTCTTAGTACTTCACGTAATTCACGATTCCAATAACAAAATGTTGTTGTTTTCAAGCACTTGCAATTAATTTCAATAGATTGAAAAACGTCAATCATTCCTGCAAGTCTGCATCTATTCAAGAGCATCGTAAACATATTTCACAATAATCGCAGATAAATTCGAGAAGTCTATAATGATAATATCCCTTGTATTACATAAATTATCATTGCTGCATTTGTTTTTATCTATTAAGTATTTTTATTTTAGATTGCGTTCAGTATTGGGTAACTATTATTTTTCTTTACAAAATATTTATAATCTGAGGAATTTTAAAATCTCTGAATTAGTTCAGCTATATATGTTATTTGTGTCTTTCTTATTTGAGTCCAAGGTCAAATCTAAATCGACTTATAACTAATTTGACCAGAATTCTACTTTTTTTTGATAATCTGTTTATTAAAATGTCAAATTTAAAGTTTAATTAAAGAATTTTAGTTAAAACAATTAAGAAAGACTTTTATGATAATTTTGAGTTAAATTGATTTAATAAAAATAGAATTGCATTTTTTTTTAAGTTTGTTGATCATTTTCATTGATATCGAAATTTGTAAAATAACGTTAAAATCTTAAATATTAAGAAGAAAATGTATAGTTTCTATTAATGTTCAAAATTTGAAATTTTTGAATTAATATATAGATAGACCAGAAGTACAAATTTCTACATGTTTGTTTATAATTTCCATAATTATAAAAGTATTATCAGAAATATGATTGAAAGTATGATTAGTCAATAATAAGTTGGTGATTTTGTTAATAGAATGATTTTAGAGAAGATTTTAATGCATTAATTGTTTTTGTTTGGAAATTTGAATTATGTATGGAATGTTGCGGGTTATTGCGTGGTATAAATGATGGTTGCCTAGTTGTAGATATGTTGTGAGCGTTTACGTAATGGTTGGAGACGGTTTGGTAGAAAAGGTATATGGTAAAGGTTGTTGAATTGTGGGGGAAATGGGCAATATCGAGGGTAGCGTCCGACCATCTGGTCTGTATGAAAGTTAGGGACTTTCGTTGTAGTTTTTTTAAAGTTGGCGGCCGGAAACCGTAAAAGAGACAGCAGTGGGCATGCGTCGCACCGATTCTATCTATAGTTGTATTTGAGTCGGACAGTCATTGATCAGTGCCCTGTATGCAACTGTGTGTGGCAATTCGTTTCTCCGTATTTGTGTCAAACTAACTTCCCAACTCTCACAAAGACAGTCGATCCGTTTCGACTAAGTATAAACAATAACTGGTGATGCATTTTGGGATATCTGCAGTGTTATTTTGTGCAATCCTCGCTGGATTCGCATCTGCGACACAGGTAAGGAAACTTTTATCCCTGGAGCGAAACTCTTCCTCCGTTCCAGCAAAACTCAAACTCTTGTTTCCCCATCACCATCTCAACCCAAATGCCCTAACCTTTAGTTTTTCCTGCACCGGGACAACGCACAAACATAGGTTTTTAGATTATAGGTAAGGCTTGTCCCGATGATTGGCTGCGGTACGCGCGCGACTTATTTTTGTTGTAGTAAACAATTACCCGTGTTTATATTACCGCCTACCCTGATAATGATAATTATTGCTGTGGGTTACATTTGCGTCTCGGATCTGCCTAAATTGCCTCAATCAAGAAACCCTGGAGGATCCGATGCGAACATTATCTTATTCAGACTAATGAAAAAGAAACCTTGGCTCATGTTTATTCTAGACGTGCGAGACGTGTTTGTTGCTCTGCTCCGTTCCTCGTACACACGGGCATCTATTATGGTCGCTTACATCTTTCTCCCAAAAAAAGCAGTGGAACCTTGGTTTTCCAGCGGCCACCTGCGAATTCCATCCACTATTAGGCACAATAGAGGAACGCCGTTATTTACAAACTTTCACCGAGTCAGAAGGGAAGGAAAAAGCTATAGGTTTTTGCATACCTGAATCGCATTTCAGGCACGTACGTTCGCAAAAACGCGTGTTGCCTTCTATGAATTCTTCGTTTCATTTTCGTATTTTACTAGTTGAATGGAAGGAATACAAAAAAAACAACATCTGGCACGGCATATCCGAAAGTTGATTGACTCTTGCCATCAATGGTATCATCGTCTTATTCTGGTGGGTTCTTTTAAACCCAACCGAGGATTTGTTACAAAATATAATTGGGCGGAACAACAACAACCTTACATAACTGTAGAATTAATTAAAACTTGTATGGAAACTGCGATACGTTTCTATATGGTATTCTACCTGCAAAAAATATATATCCACGTAATGCTATATAATATTTATTAGTTGTTTTTATATTTGAAGCCATATTAATATATAATAATTTTAATGCTAACATTACATAATGGAATTAAATTATTAATACATTCTGTACACATTTTAACGTATTTTTTTATAAAAATATTGTTTATATTATATAAAATTAATAATTCTATAGCCAGATTTAACGAATACGCGCTATATTTATAAGACAAAACTAATAACTTCTATATGTCATAAGTTAATTAAGCCCGACAACCGAAAGACCGTCTATTGAAATCCCGAGTTCGAAATCCTGACTGTATTAAAGTCCCGACGCTTGAAATCCCGACAATCAAAATTCCGACTATATCGAAATCCCGACTACCATAAAAATGTTATTGTAGAAATTTATAATAATAAAAGACACTGTCGGGATTTCGATATAGTCGGGATTTTGAGCCAGCCGGGATTTCGATAGACGGGATCTTATTATTATATGCGATTGCTACCGGTTAATTAACTGTAACTAAAGTATAATCAATTGTATAACTTTAAATCGAAGTATTTTTTATAATTAATGTAAATGACTATTATAGATATGCAACTATGTTCAATATTTCACCATCTACGTGACGCGATGCTCGTTTTACGTAACCCGATGTTGTTTTTTTTTATCCGTATGGTTTTTCATTCCTATTCAATGAACTAATTTAAAAGGCATATTTGAGAAGCGAATTTCGCATTCGCTCTGCACTTTAATGCAAAGTTCGTGTTTATTTTGCAACGTTTTCCATTTGCGTATTAACCATTCAGTAAAAACGAAATAATTTTTTTTTCAAAATTGTATATTGTATGCGTATTTCGTGTTAAATTTCTCGAAGGTTGCGAAGTGCATGAGTTATAAATAAAATGGCTCGCGGTTTGTGTGGTTCTGTTGAGAGAGAGAGAGAGAAAAAAAATGTATTTGTAAGAGGAATTTATTTTCGGTCTATTTGTCGATGTGAACTGAAAAAAAAATATGTGCGAGGGTGTGTGTCAGAGTGAGAGGATGGAAGAAATGCGGAGCAATTTATATTCAAATTGGCGGAGATTAGACGTTGTTTGTATTTAAATTGGCGGATTTGCAATTCATGGAAAACCTAAGGTAGATCCGACGCTGTTCCGTTTTTTTTTTCACGAAAAAAGGAAATTATTGAGTCATCGTCCCTTGTTTCGCCCCTAATGAGATCGGAAAGCACTTCGTTCGTCCCTTGCACTTTTCTGTTGGTAAAAAATATATATTTCGAAGCAATCGACCGAGGCAAAGTCGGATCAATTGGATGGTTAGAAAGGAGGATCATTGTTGTTCTTTGGGGTTGGAGGGTTTCAGGCAAAAACCTTAAAATAACACGTTTCTAAAGGTGGAACAACTGAAACTTCTCGGAGCGCCCCTTTTTGAAAGGGTGCACGTTTAGGGCCGGGAAATTACTAATAACTCTTCGAGTTTCGTTTCTATTCATGGATCCTTATACCTGCATCATAGATAGACCTCTCCGTCAAGGGCCACTCCCATTGCATTGTCATACGAAATTGTGGCCTAGAATAACTAACGGAATTCTCTTCATCTTATTATTATTATATATGTTGTTGTTGGTTTCCTGTAGGAAAATGATATTTGGCGACCGGTGTTAATGCGATTAGCGGTCCGAACCTGCGGCTTCAGCCCAGTTAACGTTTCGCTAATGCGATAAGCCGTTAATTGGGTGAGGGGAATCCTCATTTTGCAGAATCGATGATTCGCGCTATTGCGACCAAAACTAAAATAATTTGTTTGAAAAAGTAACAAAAGAACAACCAGCGCCCTTCGCACTTTCCTCCCCCAATGGGTTTCGACCTTCGCAAAGGGAATAAATACAGTTTAGGGGTTTCTTTTATCGTCGCATTCTGTTCGTTTTTTTTTTGTACAACTCCGTATTCTCCAGTTATTCTTTTTATTCTTTCTGTTTGGCAGAGTTGCGAACCGCTTGAAGTAAATATTTTTATTAGCCATAAACTGGAGAGGAGACGATAAGAATCTCTCTTCTGGTGCTCCCATAAACTCGTGGAAATATTATTTACAGCGCAGAATAAAAAGAAAAACCTACAACTGTGCATATTTTCAAAAAAAAATATGCATTTTCATGTAAATGTTCACAATTTTCTGTCCAATTAGAACACCTAAATTAAAAAGTTATCGCTCGATTTCTCTTCTCTCCGATGTCTCTTTACTACGTTTGCTGCAAATGTTCTAGTTTTGTCAATAGTTACCGAGCCTCCTCGGTATTTCCATCATATTGTTTGGATCTTTCCAGAT